CTCTAAGCCATAACATAGTAACTTAAACATTGAAAATGTTCATTTTACAATACAATAATAAGTCATTAAAAGTCATTACAATAACCTAGAAATGTTGAAGAAGAGCAAAGGGACAACACAAACCGACAACCACAACCACAAAACAACAACTATCACCACATAGTAATACATGCAAACAAACAACCACCAAACTATCCACTCTTTCTGCTTAACCATTCCTTCAGTATTTGGTGGCAATCTTCGCTTTCAGGACATACGCACATCAGTGGAGCAGTTTTGCCATCTCCAATGACATTGAAGACAAATAAGTCTCCAGTGTCGCATCTGTTATCACAACAGAACTTCGTCCACCCTCCTCTGATGTAATACATGCTCTTTGATTCGCAAAAGAGCAAATTCGCAATCCATGAGTTTCCCTCCTTGTTCACTAATATCACCTCTTGGCATTGTTTGTTCAACACAATACAATGCTGCATAGCTGCCACAAGAAGATGTTGCAAACACATAACAAATGAAAAGTTAGTCTTGTTTTATATTTAAATAAACACACAAAACGACTAACTACTTACAAGTATGTCTTCTTATAGGTTCTTAGCCGTGACCTCAGCCAAAAAAACAGTACTCAAATGAGATAGATGGCATTGCTCATGATCCTCCTAAAACATAAGAAAAAAATATATGAATCAAAAGAGGACGGTGAGTTTTTATTGAAACTTACTAATCTCACCTGCAGCATCATGTGAGGAGGCTTCTTCCTTGGTCACGTGAGGAGGTGTATACCTAATCTCACAGCAGCTAGGACCAACATGAGTTACATGTAACACCATGTGTGCTTCCTTCTTGAAGATGACGATGTCACCGACGCGAAGGTCATGTGCTTTGGCATTTGTTTCCCAACCTCTGGTGAGTCTTGTCCCTTCTTGTATCACTTTCCAAGTCTTATCGGAAGCGTCCGATCTTAATTTCCATGATGTCTTGTTCGTCTTTCCTTCCATGTGATATGCGAAGAAGGTAAGTGGTATGTCCTGAAATTCAGAGAAGAAAAAGTTAAGCACAACTAAACATTATTAGGGAAACCAGGAAGCAGGGAGAGTGTGTCTCTACCAAGCCAGTGTGGAAACCATGAAGCAGGGGCTTTACAAAATGAGGTTCATGCGGAGCTAACCAAAGAGACATCTACAAACAATAAACGAATGAAAGAGGGATCATTAGTAATGAAGCATAGATCTACCATGATCGTCAACAACATAATGGATCTCTCGAAAGCACTTGTTAACAGTTTACTCTAACCACTATACGATTCAATTCACTCCTATGTAGTCACTTTCTACACCCTTAATGATTCTAAGAAGAAGAGAAACAATATTTATTCATCAAATGATCTATAGCCATCACTTTTTATCAAACAAAAATCAAACCTTCTCCATTCTCAAAGCTAAAATCATCTATAACCAATAACAACAGAGTCAAACAAGCCCATGACCTTCAAGGCAAACACTCTCAATGTAACTCAGATCTATAAGAGCAACACTAAGATTGAAAAATCTTAAGAGAATCCATATCCTAAAAACAATTTGTAATAACCATTTCTAGATCTTAAGAAAAGAACGAACTTTACCAGAATAAAACTTGTGGGTACTTCAAAAAAACATGAACTTTACTATAAAACGGCTTTTTGCTCAATCCCAGAAATCGCAAACTATAGAACTCAGATTTCCAAAACAAGGAAGAAGAAGCAGAGATGTAAATATTTGTATTGGAATCGGTTGAAAGAGATTGTCAAAACTTGTTTGCTAACTTATATCTAATTAACAAGTAACCAAAACACAAGTTATCAAATTCCATCGGCCAATCTAAGAAAACAGAAATTCGCAATTCCAATCGACAAAGGAGATACATGCAACCAGAAAAACAACAACAACACCCAGAAATCGACATAAATCTGTGGGAGCATCAGTATTGGGTAGAAAAGACATACCTTTTTATTGAAATTGTCGGAGAGATTCTTCAATCCGGGATGAAATCGGGGGAGGATCACCGTCAAAACGCTATCGCATGTGAAATTGTCGGAGAGTTTGAGAGAGAAAGAGAGATAGTTTTGAAATTGTCGAAGAGTTTCGAGAGAGAAAGAGAGATAGTTGTGAGACGAATCCAATCACATGTTGACACCTGTATGAAGGACCAGCCCAGGACGAGCCCAAAAACTTCTTAAACTGGGACTTTTGCTTGCAATAAGGACGCCCATTATTTCTTTCTCATTTTCTTTTTGGGCTAAAATCACATAGGACCCTAATAAGGATGCTCTAATAATATTTCTACTCATTATATACTATACATATATTATAAAAATGTGTCAAATGCATGCAAAACAGTCAAATATATATAATTTTAAAAAATTTCAATCATTGTAATTGACAATGTGATATTATAGTTAAATTATCACTTTTATACATGATTAAAGTATTTTTTACATTTAAAATATCATATTCTCATATATATAATATGTATATTAATTAATAGGTCACTTAAGTGTTTTTTGCTGATGTGTCAATCATAAAATAGCTCGTCAATTAATTATTTTAATTTATTGATGGTTTTTAAAAAAAAATATTTAATTCATTTTTAAAGTAATAATTCAAGAATTAACTTATATTAATAACCAGATAAATAATATTTACCAATATTGATTATCACAAAATATGCATTTAAGGAAATTGTGTCATCAGTTCTCAGATTTCTGTCATAAAATATCTAGTGCATTTAGTTAAATATTTTTTTTTCTTATGAAAAGAGAGTTTTGAAAACTTTTTCTTGAACATTGTATAAATAATAATAAAAATATAATTAGAGATTAGTAATTTTATTATGTATGTATTATATAGATAATAATATACATATACAAGATTATGTATAGTATAATTTAAATTTAAAAATAAAATTAATTTTAGATAACAATCATATTTAAGATTTTCAATTAAAACTAGTAAATTATTTTACGTTTTAAATGAATTGCTTACAAAATAAAATATTTAAAAATATCCTTGTATGTTATATAAATGTATAATCAACATAAAATACAATTATTCGTAATTTTCATTAGTTCTATTGCATAGAAAATGATATACAAAAATATGTATATAAAGTAAATTTTAAACATATTCTCCATATCAAAAAAAATAAATTGAAGCTACTTTTTAATCAACAAACCCGTAAAAACTATATCGATTGTAAAACAGAAAAATAATTTTATACATATTTAAAACAATCTTTTTAATAAACTTTACAAAGACTTTCTCATGTTATAGAGATAACTAAAAGTAAAATAAGTTAGTTGCTAACAGAATAAACATTTATTTTTTACTTACAAACCATATAAATAAGAACTGTGTGTCTAATTGTTTTCATTTATCAGAATCCTTTAACTGAAACTTGTTCATAATGTTTTTTAGTTTTTCTACCAGCTAGAATTTATGTATACCATAATATGAAACTTCTTATTATCTATTAAATACAAACACTATTACTATGAAGGCATATTAATGTATAAATAAATCTTACTTGGAAATATTATTTGAAATTTATTAAATTAATGGGAATCCACATATATAAAGATTTTTCATAATATTTATATATACTTTAGTTTCAAGTATGAATTTTTTTGTCATATCATTCATATTATTATATTTTAACAAATTATAGATGGAAAACTTGATCTACAAACCAATTAATATATATATACATATATATGATATAGATGTGAATGTTAAAAAATGAAATATTACATTCTTAATAGATTAAAATCCAAACAAGTCATATATAGTTATTGATAACAAAATAATGAAATATTAAAAATACCATTTATACTTTTAAAAATTAACCAAATAACCAAACTAAATAAAATATCTAAATCTGTTTATTTAAAAAAATATATAACAAAAATTCACTTTCAATTTAAAAAGCTAAAAATATATTATATCATGTCAAAAATATAACAATATTATATTATATTCTAAAATTATTTGTATCTGCAAATTTGCGGGAAACCACCTAGTTCTAAGTAAATATATACTTAAGATGTATAAAATATAAATTAAAAAATTAATACAAATCATCTTAAACATAAAATTTCATATTGTTCTTTTTCATTCTTGTTAGAGGTAAGTATATTATGTTGTTGTATAAGTATATAAAAACAAAGATATTAAGCTTTAAAAAACTTTAGTGGTATAATAGGTTTGATTAAAGTTTGTAGATTTTCCGTTTATGTAATTTGATTAATGAATGTGAAAAATTAAAAATATAACAAAAATAAATTATGCAAACATTAATAAACATCTCAATAGTAGAAATTATAATATATTTTAGTTCATCAATGCTATTTAAATTAATTTTGATATAAATAAAAAATCTTTTATCAATTTTAAAACATATATTAAGGCTGTTTAATACTATGTTTTAAGGAGTTGACTTTTTGACATCAAAACTGTTTTTTGTGAACTTTCCTTTTATGATATAATGTATAAAATATATTTTTATAAAAATATGTTTTCTTTCTTTTTTTGTAAATATAATTTTGTTTTGTTTATTATTTGAATAATTTATTTTATTATAATAACAAATAATTTTATTTAATTATTTTAATATAGCCAATTACATATATTCATAAGCTATAATGTAAGGGTTATTGTTCACGATTTAATTAATTGATAAGATCAGGGATTTGAGAAGAAGAGATTAGGTATTAACCCATATTGATATTTTGTGATGGAACGTTTACAAAGCATTGAACTAGACTTAAATAGATTAAAAAGAGTAATGTTTTGGGTTTCATTTGTTTTTGTCTTCCCGAGGCCCAGTAATGTGAAGGCTATTCAATCTTATAAATATTAATAGTGTGGAAACCTAGCGGCCGTATCAGAAAGCCTTACCAGATTGTCATCCGTCTACACCGCGTGCTCCCTCTCATCAGATTGATTCCTCGCAAGTAAGCAACAATATCTATGTCGCAAACTAAGATGCCAATCGAAGAAGATCTAGACTTGATCAGCAAGTTACCAGATGAGATCCTCCAACATATACTCTGCTTTAATATCCCGACCAAATTAGCCATCACAACTTCCATCTTGTCTAGACGATGGAGGCATGTATGGTGCGAGTTACCTTCTCTCTCTTTAGATGTGGATACACTGACGAAGGCAGATTCGGTAAATGAAACCCTAACTCGCTACACAGCTCCCAAGACTAAGAGTTTTCACCTCACAATAGATTATGAAATGAAGAACATGTCATACATCGACACATGGATCAAGTTTGCTATGTCACACAACGTTGAGAATCTGTCCCTTGATTTCTCAAGTCATTATTATTCTGAGTACAAGTTTCCTGATTTCTTCTATAGCAGTTCTTCTCTCAAGCAACTCGACATTACGTTAAACTCTTACGGTAAGATTGTTCCCGAGTGCACTGTGTCTTGGACATCCTTGCAGAAGTTATCATTGACTTGTGATAGTCTCTCTGATGAATCCATGGCCAAGATTCTAGCTGGTTGTCCCATCCTTGAGAATCTGTCCTTGAATTTCATTAGCCAAGATCGTTATTATGGTTATTATGGTCGTCATAATGATCACTATTATGATCAATATAAGCTTCCTGATTTCTTCTATACCAATTCTTCTGTCAAGGAACTCGACATTACGTTAAGCTGTTACCATACGGTTGTTCCTGAGTGCACTGTGTCTTGGACATCCTTGCACAAGTTATCCTTGAGATTTTGTAATCTCTCTGATGAATCCATGGCTAAGATTCTATCCGGTTGTCCGGTTCTTGAAAATTTAAACCTGTATCACTGCGGAGGTACACTAAATGTTCTTGATCTCACCGAATCTCCACGTCTGAGAACATTGGAAGTAATACTTAACATAACGGTTCCGGGGCCAAGGCAGATTGTGGCACCACACATCCATTATCTTAAACTGTATGACGCTCAGTTATCATGTACTTTGGTTGATGTCTCTTCTGTAACCGAAGCTTGGATGGAAACTTCTTGTGTCTCAATGAACTCTGACTCCAAAGCTAATTTTCTCCAAGTCATGGTGTTAAAGATGCTAGATAAGTTAAAGAACGCAGAGAAACTTAAGCTTGGGAGAAACTTTATTCAGGTACCTCTATGTTTTTTATTTTATTTTGGGCTCATATTAATTATTGCATTATCTAAATAATGCCTAAAAATCAGTTGGTTGCATTGCACAATTTATATATAGTTCTAATAACTTTTGAATTGTTTCAGATTTTATCCCTGGCTGAGATTCGTGGTGTTCCTTTACCAATGCTCAAAGTCAAAGCATTGACTCTTGATACGAAGATCTGTCAGTATGTTATTCCTGGCATAGAAAGGCTATTAAAAAACTCACCTGAGTTAGAGAAGCTGACAGTAGGTGGAAAGCCTCGCTCCCGCGTGCATGTATATATACATATATTCACCATTAACCTCTCTCTTTTTTTTTTCCAGCTATCATTGAGTTCGACTATATATATATCCATGAACCGATTTTGTATTTTTTTTATTAATACAGGTGGAGTTTCTTGACAAATACTTGGAATTACAAGGCTTTAACGTGAACAAATGCTGGAGATCCAAAAAGGGAGCCACTTGGGGAGAGCACTGTGTGGATGTGGAATCTGAGCATGTGGCTTCAGTAGTGGAACTTATGCTTAGGAACCCTACAGAGAAATTAGACAAGATGGTCGTACTGTTGAATGAACGTTACCTTAAGTTTAAAATTGAAGACCTGACTGCAACACTTTGTCACAACAACAATGTCACCATTGTGCTCTTTTCCACCGAGGATTGGTGAAATCATTAAGGGGTTAGAGTCTTTCAGTATCATTGAACATTTAATTTCTTTTTCTTTTGTATAACTTGTGTACTTTGTACTTTATTACTTGCGATTGAATTTGTACTCTAAGCATGAAATCAAACTCGAAGAGCTTATGATAATATGAAACTGTGATCTAGAAATAACTCATACCTTCTGCGTACGGAAAGACATACAAAACTTACTAAAAAAAACTCACTTATTTTGAAGTTGGTCATGGAAGCTTGGCTCTACTCTTGTTTAAAAGAGTGAAAATCATCGACGACTCCACTACCAAAATCTCCAAAAATTTTGAGAGCTTTGGGGCTATATCAAAAACTTAGTTGTTGATTTCTGTTTTCAATTCTTTCTATTGTCTATTGTACTCTTCTCTGTTCGGTCTTTCGTCCTTGATAAGCGATCTCAGATGACACAATGGTTGAGTAGATTAGTAACAGAATGACGTTTCTTCCAATGTCTAAAGAGATGACGACGGGATGAGCTTCTGAAATCACAGTTTGGGTTGTCTTCTATACTTTCTTGCCGGAGACGCGAGGGAGGATGCTTGAGGATATGGATGAGCTTTTTAGTGTTTTCAGGTAGAGAGACTCTAACAGTAAGCCCAAGTACAAACAAGAGTTCGAGTTCGAACCCTGAGGTTGAGTTTGGACCGAACAAACAGTGAGCTCGTTTGTGTTTTTAGAACTTTTGGAGGAAATATGTTTTAAGAAAAAAAAAACACAAATACTTGCTAGGCAAGTCAAATCATTTTGAAGGGTTCTTAAAGCTCACAAAAGAACAAATTTACAATATAATAGAGTTTTAGAGATAACTGGTGAAGCAGAGAGGTGATGGGAGGAGACACACGTTCCACCATTGATGAGCTCAAAAGCATTCTTCTGGGAGAGATACTCTCCTTAGCATTCACACCCTGTAGACCTCTGTTGGTTGCTTGTCCCAACATCAATTGTGTCCGGCAAGTATCTAAAGAAAAAAAGACAAGACAACGTTAAGACTTGAGACCAAACTCGGGACTAAAAAATCGTATGGTTTTGAAAACTTACAGCTCTTCCTCTTCTCCACTCTTCAGAGCGTTCTTGGCAATGCATTGGAAAGCTTCCTCAACATTGGTGCCTTCCTTAGCAGAGGTTTCAAAGTAGGGAATGTTTCCCTTTGAAGCGCACCAAGCTTTAGCCTTTTTCTCTGAAACCTGTTATAAAAGTCAACAGCATTAATGTTACATCATCTCAGAGACATTCATGTCACACTGGAGAATTAAGTAAAGCACATCATACATACCACTCTGCTATTTCCACCATCCACGTCCACCTTGTTTCCGATAAGAACAAACGGAAAATTCTCTGGATCCGATGGACTCGCCTGTAAGGTTGGAGGGGGCATTATGATTTTCTATTGTGAAAGGTGAGAAAAATTATATTTGAATCTATACCTGGATCAGAAACTCTTCTCTCCAGTTGTTGAGATTGTCAAAAGATTTCATGGAGTTGACATCATATACAAGAACACAGCAATCAGCACCCCGGTAAAAAGCTACACCAAGGCTCTGAAACCTTTCCTGTCCAGCTGTATCCCATATCTGTTATTAACCCACATTCACAGAAACACACACATTAACAAGTGAGCTTTGAACAAGTAAAGAGGGTAGCCATAGCTCCCAGAAATGTGAACGATTGACCACTGACAAATGAGACACAATCTTTAGGATAGTTTAGTGCTATCCTTATTCGTTTGGTTGATAAGTATCAAGAAAAGCTATTAAGAACCACATGAAAATATCCTAGTGGCTTGTCTTATTCAAAACTAATTAAATCATTAACTATTTCACATCACCGACATCCTACTGATTGCCTAACATTACCACAAAAAGTATGTCAATATATTGTAGGTAGCATGATTCACGAGAAAGGTAAGCCTGGAAGTTTCTGGCAGAAACTTATTAGATACTTAGCGTTTTTTTAAACCAGCACCACGCATAGTCAAAAAGTATCTACTGAATACAACTATAGCAGCACCGTTGTGTGAAGCAGTGGGCACATTCAACCAACTTATATAAGAACAAAAGTAATTAAACTGAAAAAGCACTAGTAAGTAAGAACCTGTAAAGTGAAAAGACGATCTTCAAACTGGACTTCTTTAGTCAAGAAGTCAGCTCCAATGGTGGCCTTGTACTGGTTACTGAACTTTTTATTAACATATCTGAAGTTATCGTGTTAAGCCAAAACAATAGCACAAATTCATTCAATTCTGTAAAAGAGCCAGCAAAATTCATATAGCAAGACCAAATAATCTGTTTTTTTCTTTCATATCTAGAAAAACTAGTAGAGTATGACTTGTTACTCCATTAAAAACAAAAGAAGGATACTGATTCATCAAAGAGGTCTTCCCCACCCTGCAAAATCACAAATTAGAGTAAGTCCAAATTAGTGTAAGTCAAATAAACATAACAACAGAACAAAACATCTAGGAATGTATAAATTTCACTGTATTCATTAGACAAATAAATAAAAAAGTTGAGTCTTAACGACAAAGTCGCCCACATATCATTTGTTGATACCAGGATCCTTCCAAAGTTTTTCTCACTTTTTAAGATAGATAACATGATCTTGGATGTCAAATTAGAGGCAGGAAAGCAAACATAAATTAAGCTCCAAAGCAAAGCAAAGAACACCACGGATCATAAGTTTCTAACTACATGTTGATGATGAAGACCAAAACGTAACCAAAATAAAAAGCAAACATAAATAAAACTCAAAACAATTGATAGTTTTAAAGAACGTGGTTAAGTGAACTCAAGTTGAAAACGTCTACCTCTGAGACTAGGTCAGCTCAAATTTTTCAAATTAGCAACAAAAGCCTCGTAAAGTTGTTATCTTTGAGCAACAACACGAAAGTAAACCTCAATATCAAAATTCAGCAGCAACAAAATAAGCCAAACTAAGAGATCAATCAACAAATCATATCAAAACCACAAATTAGACAAAAAAAACTCCTGCCTAAATCTCTAAACCTAGACAAGAAAACCATTCAATTTAGTCACCGTAAAAACATCAAATCACGTACAGTGAGCAAAATACAAAGATGAGAAAAACAGAATCTGGGAAGAAACCTAACCCGCTATCGCCGAGGATGATGACTTTAAGGAGGGTACGTCTACGAGAAGGCATCGAACCGGATCTAAAAAGAGAGAGATAGAGAGAGATTCTACGATCTCTGTCTCTGGTATGTTCTGTGGAAGAAGACGGTGTGTGTGCCCCTGGAGAGTCTTAAAAGCTGTTCCTGATCTGTCTTGTAATTTCTCTCAGGCGACTAGTGTTTTGTCTTTTATATATCCCAAAAGAGAATCATTATGCTCTTGGTGTAATTAATACAATTATTAAAGATTTCAGTAATCAATAACTAGCTCTCGTAGCTCAGTTGGTTAGAGCACCCGTTTAGTAAGCGGGAGGTCTTGAGTTCGACTCTCAACGAGAGCATTTGTTTTTCTTTTGCTTCACGTGTTGTTTAATTTATGTCTTCATTCTTAGGTAAACCAATCATTTTGGTTTTTTCAATAAACACAAGTTTTTAAACTGTAATTAATAGTTCTTTTTTTTTTTTTTTTGCAAATTTAGTTGAAGGTGAATAATCTATCTGCATGGCTGCATCAAATACCCAAATATAGATCCTACAAAAGAAGAAATTATTAGGAATTAGCAATTCAGAATATCAAAAAAAAAACGAAAACGAAAGAATCTCTTAAAATTGGAACACACAATGAGAGCTTTTGTTGTTTCTCTTTGTTCAAATCTTCATCTGCTCTCTTGCTTTAGAAAATCTTAAGGAGAGAGCTTCTAGATAATATCCATAGAGATTATGGCGGAGAATTCACCGCCGTCACCTCCCTCCTCCGACAACAACGATCAGCAGCAATCTCCTCCTTCTCCTAACTCCTCCTCCTCCTCCTCCTCCTCTCCTTCACCACCTTCTTCAGACTCACAACCTCCACCATCCCCACCACAAGGAAACAATAACAACAACAACAACAATGGTGGAAACAATGACAACAACAACAACAACAATGGTGGAAACAATGACAACAAGAATGGTAATAACAACAATGGTGGCAACAACAGCAACAACAACAATGGTAATAACAACAATGATGGCAACAATGGTGGCAACAACAATGATGGCAATAATGGTAATAACAACAATGGTAATAATAACAATGGCAATAGCAAAAATGATGGCAACAATGGTAATAACAACAAGGGGAATAACAACAACAATAATGGGAACAATAATAATAACAACAAAAACAATAACGGAGGAAGCAACAACAACCGTTCCCCTCCGCCTCCTTCAAAAAACTCCGGCCGTAACTCTCCTTCTCCACCGAAATCTCTCTCACCTCCTAAATCAAGCCGTGGTGCCTCTAAATCCTCTCGTAGCGATACACCAAACCACATTGGTGCTATTATAGGAATTGCAGCTTCTGCTGGATTGTTGCTTCTTGTTTTGATCTTGTTCTGCGTCTGTTGTTGTCGTAAGAAGAAGAAAAAGAAGAACCAAATGCCTTACTATACAAGCACCGGTTTCAACGGTATGTCTAAAATTGGTCAATACCAAGTCATTAACCTGAGCCCTAGTCTATCCTATTTCTTGTACACCAAGCTACTTAAATTAATAACCTAAAATCATCAAAATCTTCTTACCTTCAAACCACATTTGCAAGTTTTTTGAGTTTCATAATATTTTTATATATGGCAGAGCTTTACGTTTTTGAATATTTTAATTTATTGTGGAAAACTATTAAAATTTGTTTCCTTGCCTCCCAAGAAACAAAGTGAAAACATTTTTTTGTTTTTGTTTTTGAATCTTAGTTGGGAGTGGTCAATACCAACAACAGCAACAACAATACAACAACCAAAGCGATCATGTAATGAACCTCGGGAACAACAACTGGATGAACTCACCTCCTCCGCCACCTCCTGGGAACTGGCAACCATCCCAACCACCAACAATGCCGGTCTCAGGCGGTTTAAACAGCAGCGACATGAGCTCAAACTACTCAGGCCCACACGGTCCAGCTCTACCACCACCACACCCATCAGTGGCTCTAGGTTTCAACCAGAGCACATTCACCTACGACGAGCTAGCAGCAGCAACACAAGGCTTCTCTCAAGCGAGATTGTTAGGGCAAGGCGGGTTCGGGTATGTTCACAAGGGGATACTTCCGAATGGGAAAGAGATCGCTGTGAAGAGTCTTAAAGCAGGAAGTGGACAGGGAGAGCGAGAGTTTCAGGCTGAAGTGGATATCATTAGTAGAGTTCATCATCGGTTTCTTGTGTCTCTTGTTGGTTATTGTATTGCAGGAGGGCAGAGGATGTTGGTTTATGAGTTTTTGCCTAATGACACACTTGAGTTTCATTTACATGGTAAAAGTGGTGTTATTCTTGATTGGACTACAAGGCTTAGAATTGCTCTGGGATCAGCTAAAGGGCTTGCTTACTTACATGAAGATTGTAAGCCAAGAAAACAAAAAAACTCTCAATCCTTTCTAGGTTTTATGATCAAACTTGACTTTATGTAAACAGGTCATCCGAAAATCATTCATAGAGATATTAAAGCTTCAAATATTCTTCTTGATGAATCCTTTGAAGCTAAGGTATGCTTATACGATCTTGAATGACAATCTCTTCAGACTTTATATATAATTAACTGGACTGGCTCAAATCTTCAGGTTGCAGACTTTGGGTTAGCTAAGCTATCTCAAGACAACGTTACACATGTGTCCACTCGTATTATGGGAACTTTTGGGTATTAAAAGAAACGCTAAACCAGCTGATGAAAGATCTCACTCACGAATCTGTTTCTCTAATCAAGAATCTCTTATGGCAGGTACTTGGCTCCAGAGTATGCGTCAAGCGGGAAATTAACAGACAGATCAGATGTATTCTCCTTTGGAGTGATGCTTCTTGAGCTCATAACCGGACGCAGACCTGTTGACCTCACTGGTGAAATGGAAGACAGCTTGGCTGACTGGGTCAGTACCATTTTACATACACTTTCTTCTGTTATAGTCTTTATGACCACCTAAATGTTCTAAACACTTTCTTAAAAACAGGCAAGACCATTATGCATAAACGCAGCTCAAGACGGAGACTACAGTGAGCTAGCAGATCCACGCCTCGAGAACCAATACGAGCCTAATGAAATGGCACGAATGGTGTCTTGTGCCGCTGCAGCCGTCAGACACTCTGCTAGACGTAGGCCTAAGATGAGCCAGGTAAGAAGTCAAAATGAATCAAATCACAAACGGCTCAATCCAAGTCAAATGTTCTAAAGTGGCTCTAATGATTATAACAGATTGTTCGAGCTCTTGAGGGAGATGCATCACTAGATGACCTAAACGAAGGAGGGAAACCTGGAGAGACGAGCACTTACAGTGCTGATATGAAGAATTTTAGGAGAGTGGCGTTGGACAGCCAGGAGTACGGTGCAAGCAGTGAGTACGGTAACACGAACGAGTACGAGCAGCGACGAATTTAGTAGAGGAGGAGGAGTAGGAGCTTACAACAGCAAAAACAAACTCCTAGACAAGAGCTTTGACTTAGCTTTTAGATTCAAACAACCAACCAACCAACCTTTCTCTGTTTATGTTTTGTTTCCTTATGAAACTTTTACAATTCTTTTATTTTTTATATGGTCGGATTCTGACCGTTGTGCATTTATGTTTTTGTCTGTATGAGGAAAGATACAATCTTTTGATTGTGATTAATTGATTATTTAATGCTAAATCTCTCTGCTTATGTTTGAAATGTAGCTGAAGACTTGAATTCAGATTAAAAGTTTCCAACTCTACGTGATCCCTTTATCTCTACTTCATCTTCTTAAGAATCAAATCATGAAAAGGTTCGAACTTTTTGTGATCTCTTCTAAGCTGAAGACTAATAAATGATAAAGAAGCAGATGCGTAACTTTAAAAATAACGAAAACGCCACTCTAGTAGAAAGAATATCAGAAACAGAGGATGACTACAGAGAAGGAGATCATGAAAGTGTAAAGAAGAATCAAGAACCCAAAGTAGAGAGCCCAGTTTCTCTTAAACTTGCCAAAGTAGCTATCTGGTGGCTCCTGATACGGAACCTCCAGATCCCAAGCAGCAGCCGAGGCTGAGATCTCGTCTTCTCCGCCGCCACCACCACTACTAATGAAATCTCCTGCAGCTATGCGTGACTTGATGAAACGGAGCTTGTGTGTAGCGAGTCCTAACGTGAGCTTGTGGCAGCGACGCTGGTACTTGAAGCCGTTGATGCAACGGAGGGTTTGAGCTACGGAGACGTAGAAGAAGAGATGCGAGAAGGAGAGGAAGACGATTGGCGCCCAGCAGTGGCGGCAGTGGAGACGGCCTGAGGGTTGTGAGAGGGAGAAGAAGATGATGGCGAGGAAGATGAAGAAGAGCTGGAATAGCTTGTGGAGCTTCTTCTTCTGGTGGTCAATGGCTCGTTTTTTCTCTAGAGTTTTCTCGAAGTGGAGTTGGATTATTGTGTTTAGGGCTTGTAGAGCTGTTTCTTTGGGGATGAATGGTTGGTTTTGCTGGTCGATCTCGTCTTCGTAGTCCGCCATTAGAGGACTGAGAAGAGAGATAAAAATGCGTTTGCGTTGTGGAGAGAGAGAGTGTGATTGGAGTAGGTGAACATGTGGGTGTGGTTCGTATCTCTAGACACATGTGTACTCTCACCATATCCAACAAACATCTCATCTCAACGGTGTTGTTAATAATAAATGGAGTTTGTTTTCTTTTTTCACTAAAGAGAGTACAACAAATATTTTTGAGAATGAACAGTAAAGATTTTGTTTTCTGCCTGCTAACACATGGACAAATGCTAATGGGTAGTTTCAACTTATGTTTCTGCATCTGTCTTAAACCAAAAGACTGGATTTTGGTTGTGACAAGAAGAAGAAATCCGATTCATAAAAATGACTGCGAACAAGAGTAAGAAGTCATTCTGTGACCGCAAAGAAATTAAAATACAGACACTATAAAAGTAGAGCTAGCATAAGAGCATACTAGTGTTTTTTTTCCATGCCTCATTGTTCCAACATAGTGTCCCCTAACTTGGTTCCATCGCTTCTTTAGGTTGAGCACATGGGTTTGCCATCAGAAGAGCGCATCTAAGTGGATTTAGCCTGATAGGTATAAAGAAGATTTATCAGTCTCTCAAATCTATCAAAGACAATATAGTAGAGTCAAAGATCCTTTGCTAACTAAGCAAGGTTCTGTATTAGGCCATTGAAATAACAGTTAACGCAAATCTAAGCTCCATTCCATAATAGTACTAATACTCTTCCCAAAACTAAACCATTTCGATCTATAAGCTGATGAACTTGGCAAGGACTAGAGACTCAGGAATAAGAAAATAGACTTTTGCAACCACAATATTCCAGGATGTAACATTGTAACTATAGTGAACATAAAAGTGGCATTATCAAGCCAAGTAAAACATTTGCAAAAGAAGCTAAAACCTTTATAGATAGAATCATCACCTTGTTCTACTCTATCTATGGATATTGAGCATGGCTTTAGCCTCCTTCTCCTGCTCAACCAAATCATCACTAGCATACTCTCTCAACAACTCCATCTTCTTCTTCATCAACACCATCTTCTCAATCTCCTTCTCATCAGGCAAAGGAACATGCACAACAAACTCCCTCTCCTTCTCCTCTTCCTTCTCCCTCTCCTTCCTCTCCTCCTCCACAACATCCTCCTCCTCCTCAAACAAAACCTCCTTCACAGCTCCAACACTCACAACCTCACTCGCCCCTTTCCTCGCCTCCTTCCTAACCTCATCCAACCTCCTCCACTCCTCCACCTCCCTCCTCCTCATCTCCCCCTCCGCTTCCCTCTCCAACCCCTCCAAAACCCCATCCTCCTCATCCCTATACCCATAATACCCCGCGTCTATCCTCCTATATATATCATACCTCGTCCTCCTCTTCCTCAGCTCCGGCGGCTTCTCGAAAAGCTCCCTAACTCCGGGGAGCTTCTTCGCCGCCCCGAAGTAACGGTAGCCAGGACCGCGTCCGCTCGTGTTCGGCACGTCGATGATGTTTCCCTCCAGATCCGTCATCTTCGCGCCGTGGCGATTGTAATTAGGTCCTCCGAGCTCCACGATGCGACGCTCCCAGTGCCATCTCTCTCGGAGAAGCTTGTTGATCTCGTCGTTGAGGTCGCGGAGACGGTGCTCGCCTAGGCCTTCGTTCTGGATCTCGGCGACTTTGCGGCTGATCTCTCGCATGATCTGGTGCCTCCATTTGTCTGCGTCGGCGAGATCTCGGCACTCGGAGGCGAGGTAAGGTCGACGCTCTTTCGGTTTCTTGTTCTCGGACTCTTTCATGGTGACGAACCTGTTGAGCATCGACTGCGCTTTCTCCTCGTTACGAGCCATCTTGGGATCTTCGGAGTTGCGATTACGGTTAGAACGAAGGAGAAGAAGTGAGTGAAGAAGCTAATCGACTCTTCTTTCTGTTTCGATAAACCCTAATTTAGAGGACGATGAGCGATGGGGAAGGGGACGAAGATAGATTTGAAGAGAAACCGTTTCCTTTTGTCAAAATCCTACGGCCCAGTTTACTAATCCATATTTTTATTTACAAGGCCAGTTTATTGAATAAAGATCGATTAGTCCTTGTTCTCGTTCGGAAACTCGCTAGGCGCTACGTATGTGTTCGGGTTGGGCCTAGCGCCTAATGAAAATATCAGATTTTAATCGGAGATTAATCGATAATTAATTTTAAGGTTTTATTTTATTTTTAAAATAAAATTATGTACAAATTGTTGTTTATGTAAATCAAAACAAAGCTAACCCGTGGTCTGATTGTATTTTCTCTATGTATTACCAAGCCAACCCCGGGTTCGACACTCAGAAAGGTAAATTTTGCTTATATTTTATTTTATGAGGGACAGTTTTGTAATTGGCTCTTTGTCTCCCTTTTAGGGTTGCTCCGACTCTGCAGATTTATTCTTTGCGGCCACCATCATTTTTCTTCAAAGAATATTCATTTTTGGGTGTTTTTAGTAGTTGATTACACATAAAAACTATAGATTTATCAATACTCATCGATTTAGAACATCAAAATTGCGAAAACAAAGAATTTTTGTATTACTCCGTCTAACCATCCGATTTGAAGCAAATCGATACGGATGAGAGCCGCCTCACGTTTTCTTGCCGGAAAATCGGATCTCCGCGCCGCGTTTTAGAACAAGAGTCCTTGTCAATTTGTGAATGACATATGTTAGTTTTGGGAATGAATAAATTAAAAACCTTTAAGCATGTATTTAATACGAGAAAATGGTCAAAAAGTACTAATAGTATTCTTTATGTTTTAGTGAACTTTAAAGGAGAACACAATATATAAGAATTATCTTATTTAAAAATAAATATTATTAATATAAATTTATTTTATAATAGAAACAACTATTTTAATATAACAACACAGTATATAAGAATTATCTTATTTATTTAAAAATATATTATTGATAATAGTATAGACATAATTATTTTAAGATAACAACACAATATAAAAGTTATTATATATAAAAATCCATTAAAGATAATATCAATATTAACCAGTCTAACTTTTAACGTATGAGCTCCCTTGCAAAAAATCACTTCACAAATAAAATATATTATTGATAATAGTATAGACATAATTATTTTAAGATAAAAACACAATATATAAAATTATCTTATTTTTTAAGAAGTTATTATATATAAAAATCCATTAAAGATAATATCGATATTAACCAGTCTAACTTTTAGCGTGTGAGCTCCGTTGCAAAAAATCACTTCGCAAATAATAGTATAGATAGATAGATATGAAAAGAAAAAAAAAATTTAGGAAAGACATTAAAAATCCTTAAAATGAGCTAAACTGAAACTGTGTCAAATGAAAACAACAACAAAATCAAGATAAGATTTATGTGCCACTACAAACAATCACACATACTATAATGAATTTGTGAACAATTTCAGTTAATTAAATGACATGGCTCACGAAGTCATTTAATTAATGTATTATTTAGCGCTCCAAAGTATAATTTGTATTTAAATTTAAATGAATAAATATGTATGTAATTAAATAACGGATAGATGAAAGGTTTGTATTTTAACAGCTAGTGATTGTTAAAAAACAGCTAGTTTTACACGCGTCTATAAATAGGGGATGTTGTTGCTTGAAAGCAAATCAAAACATTTTGAAACTAATTATTTCATCGAAATAAAGAAAGAAAGACATGTGGAAGGTCAACGATGATGCGATGCTCCACGCAGGGGTGAAGAAGTATGGGAGATATGCATGGGAGACGGTGTCTGTGTCCGTGTTTGACCACAATAGATCTTGGCGTGAGTAACCAAACTTAATTTGATGTTGAATTAAACATGATTTACTTTAGTTTTGAATCCAATTTATTTCTAATGTAATTAAGATCATAATTAGATTTTAAAGTTTGTAACTGATGTAGTCTTCATAACGTCACTTTTTTTCCTTATCAAATTCTTTAGTGTCATAGTATATTAGTCTCTTGTTGCTATGGTATATTAGTCTCTGTTGCGGCCTCTTATTAAATATAGAAACATGAGTCATATCATTCTCATCTAGAAAATGGATAGTTACGAAATGCATGTATTACTGAACTTTCATAAATAATCATGAAATGGTAAAAAGTTCTTATTTAGTTTTTATATCGAGTAAATTTGATTCAAAATTTTACTTCCCACTGCACAAAAGCAACACAAGATAATGTTTGATTCTTCCACAAATGTCAAACATAACAAAAATAGAAATGATAAAAATAAAGTAGAAAATCTTTTGGTTAGGATATTGTATTTCTCACAATTACGTGACTGTTGGTGATGCAGTCATCAAACCAGTAGCTGAACTGGAGGTTCACCAAACCATCCAAACCAACCACCTAGGCGATACCAGCGACATAAGTCTAGTTCAAGGCATATATCTTGACAACCAAGAGGCTTTTTGGCATGAAAATATTTTTCGTGGATTCTACACTCAATACGTAGTACATTACAATTGGAATTTCCAGAAAATATTAACGGACCAAGGAGTTATGAATTTTACAAACTGGAGGTTCTCCAGCCCATCCAGTTCCAAGTATCAGCCCTTTGAAGTGGATTTCAGTCCAACCACGAAGTGGCCTTCTCCAAATTTAGTCATGGACTTTAAGAGGGATTTGTCAGCTATTCAGAAATCCCAGAATCAGGCGAATTGGTCAAGAGAAAACCAAGATGCAATCAATTTCCCAAAACCGGCCAATCCGATTTTAATTTGGGAAAGTTGCCAACCACTTCGATTTGGTCCGAACCAAATATATTTGTGGAAACCAGGAGATCATTATAACCATTCAGAAGACATTCAAGACGTCCTCAGCTGCACCAGCACCCAGGAGATCAGGCGGATCTTCATTCACTCCAACCTTCTTTATTTGGCAGCATTTACACTATTTTTTTTGAATGAATTTCTACAGATTATTGCTCAAGACCAACGGAAATATTCCTAATCAAAGCACATCAGGAAGACTTCTAAACCGTTGATACATCCAGAAGATATCAAGATACAAAGATCATCTCTTTTCAAAGACCACAAATTAAGCTAATGGCTAGTTTTCATGGAGCCATCAAAGCCTTCACATCCAAGACTTTTATTTCGATTTCTTTTCTTTTCTTTTTTCCTTTTGTGACTGTTAGTTTCTGTCTTTTTCGAACCTATAAAGCTCCAGTCTTTGTTTCATTGTAGACGAGTCATCTTTGAAAGTACTATGAAATATTCAATTTTCTAGTTTTCTTAAAACTATTGTTCTAAATCTTTTGAGTGTGTGTGAAGCAGCTCTAGAGCCCCTTGACTTATCAAAGATCCCTTCCATAGATCTTTGTGGTGTCCTCAATCCACCCTTCCTTCCAACCCTTTTGTTTTCCTAGCTTGAGAGTAATACACATCCAGCAAGCAAAGCTCCATCTCATTCCACTCAATCATCAACTGATTAGGCTGAGAGTGTCACACGACCAGAAGCCAAATTCCATCCTATCTATCCTTATTCATCTTGTTTTATCTTAGTAGAATTCACATCTCATTTGTTTTGCATTTGTTTTCAGGTTTATAACTTGAATTCCATTCATATCGCCCACCCGATCATCTTTTTGGTCAATCCATCAAGCTTCCATCTTCCATCTTGCCCACCCCGATTTCCAGGTTGTAACAGTTGGGTATAAGCTTAGGCATTGTAACTGAAAACTAAATATGATTCGAACTGAAAGATCCATAATTTTATCCAACGCAATCTATAAAAGTATCATTTGGATTCTATAGAATGATATTTTACATTACATATTTTGTGAATTATAAATATCATTAATTGAATGTAACAAAAAGTTTGGATCCAAAATTTCAGAAATAAAATATATTGAACTCCTGAGTGTGTTAATTGAATCTGATCCGAACATAAATGAAAACCAAATTAGGTATATGGAGATGAACACTAAACCCAAAATCTGATCTAGATCCGAACCCAAATCCTTGTTGGGGAACCTAGAATATAATGGTATAAACCTAATGTGCTGATAGATAATAATTGACAAGATTAATTTGAAATTCATGCAGCATTATTATAATGTACATCATGTAAAAGGATTATTATAATGTACATTATGTAAAAAGATTATCAAGCAAAGTAACGAGGACATGCTTGGAATGGTTTGGTGGTACAGCAGTAGAATTGTGGTTAGTGTGGTCTGTTATTGTTGTGGTTAGTGTATATTCTGCAATCAAATCTTACTTTAGCTGACATCCATGTGATATTTAATATGAATGCTCTTAAAAAAGGTAAACTACTTCTGGAACAAAAAAAAGAAGTTGTGGATGAGTGTTGAATTGCTTCGAGATAGACACTCAAGTTTCAAAATGAAAGGTCAGTGTCGTTTCTCTATTTTTAAAAACAGATTAGTTCAAAAAAAAACTGACTTTAGCTAACTAACATTCTTCTGGAATATTACAAACTCATAACAAACCTTTTTCATACGTAAATGGAAAACCAATAACGCCTCACATTCAGACTCTTGATACCAACAAGATGAAGGTAACAATTAAAAGAAAAATATTATCTAATACAATACTTGTATATTAACAATGCAAAGGTTCCTCCCAGTTTGAAAGAAACTATGGAAAAATAAGGGAATAAAGAGGCATATCAATTTGATCACTCAGGGCTACAAAACAATGGACTAAAACGCAAAGCGAAAGCGGTTTCTTGAAACGCAGACGTAATGTAAAACCCAGAGAGTTTGTCACACACAAGTGCTCATAAACGAAATCAAAGGGAAATGAGACAAACAAATGGAGAAAGCAAATATGAAAGAAAAAAATTGATAAAACCCAGCTTTTAGCCTTCTCCTTGAGACATCTTAGAAGCATTTTCTGTGGACAATCCCTGGACCTGCCTCATCATACTCAGCCTTGGAGATCCACATCTATTGACAACAAACATAGATATAATCAGCTCCTTTAGTTTGAAAGAAAAAGAGAGAAACAGAAACATCATGTCAATACATACCTGCTGCAATGTGCTGAGGGAAGCAAGAATGGAACCTCCGATCCAGACACTGTACTTCCTCTCCGAAGGTGCAACGACCTTAATCTTCATGCTGCTTGGTGCAAGCGCTGTGATCTCTTTGCTCATACGGTCAGCAATTCCCGTGAACATAGTTGTTCCACCACTGAGCACAATGTTACCGTACAAGTCCTTCCTGATATCCACGTCACACTTCATGATCGAGTTATACGTTGTCTCGTGGATTCCAGCAGCTTCCATTCCCATGAACGACGGCTGGAACAAGACCTCTGGGCACCTGAATCTCTCAGCACCGATGGTGATCACTTGTCTGTCGGGTAACTCGTAGTTCTTCTCGATGGAAGAGCTGGTTTTGGAAGTCTCCATCTCTTGTTCGTAGTCCACGGCGACGAAGGAGAGCTTCTCCTTGATGTCTCTTACAATTTCCCGCTCTGCTGTTGTGGTGAACATGTAACCTCTCTCGGTAAGGATCTTCATGAGGTAATCAGTAAGGTCACGCCCAGCAAGGTCGAGACGGAGGATGGCGTGTGGAAGAGAGAAACCCTCGTATATTGGCACAGTGTGAGACACACCATCACCAGAATCCAGCACAATACCTGTTCAAGGAAGAGAGAATCAGCTCTCAGTTTCAACATGATAGTACAAAGAGAGGCTTAAAGATGTACTAACCGGTAGTACGACCACTGGCGTAGAGGGATAGAACAGCTTGAATAGTGACATACATAGCTGGGGAGTTGAATGTTTCGAACATGATCTGAGTCATCCTAGTTGCTCACAACACCATGCTCAATAGGGTATTTCAAGGTGAGGATACCTCTCTTTGACTGTGCTTCGTCACCAACGTATGCATCCTTCTGGTTCATCCCAACCATGACACCATGATGTCTTGGCCTACCAACAACACTAGGGAAAACAGCCCTGGGAGCATCATCACCAGCAAAACCAGCCTGTGTACGTCATAAATTATGAAGATATCAAACTTTAGTTTGTAAAGCAAAAGAGGAGATACACAGATCTGATAAAAAGAGTATAGAGACAGTTACTAACCTTGGCCATTCCGGTACCATTGTCACAAACGATTGGTTGAATGTCATTAGCCTCAGCCATTTTTTATAAGCTGGAAATACACAAAATAGTTGAATACTCTGAAAATGTACCCCGAAGTGATCAATCAAAGAACTAAAATCATAAATAGCTTCTAAAGATAACGTGACCTGGCTGTTAGACAGCCTTTTCCCTCATGTTAACTCCTTTTTAAAATTTTAATTAATCATCTCAGCCGTTGGATTAATTATGATTTTAATTTGTTTTTGCTGAGGTGGCTTGTCTGTCATCGGGTTTGGCGTTAAACAACAGCTCCGATTTCTTTTTGCTAATTTACTTTTATTTATAATTTGGGAATTTTATATAGCTAGTGTTAACCAAGTCAATCCAGGCAACGATGGTCGTGGTTGGCTTGTTCATTTAGATTTCACAAAATTCAACTTAATTAATTCATTTTCTATTTTGAAACCGAATCGTATTTGATCTTTTAAAAGTGGAATTGTAAGATCAGACCGTGAAAGAAGGTGACTTCCATGAGGTATTACGGATATATAAACTAAACCACTATAATTTTTCATCGTATTCACGATTAGTTTATTGTATAGTGGCGAGTACATGTATGCATCCGAATTTGTCAATACGATTGTGAATTAGTTATAGTATATGCTTTCTAACATCTAAATAATAGTTTTGTATTTCTCAAATGACTGTTATTTTGTATAACTAATGTTTGCCATATGTTTGGTATAAATAATAATGTAGAGTTGAGATACTAGTAAGGTCCATTACACTGAGTCTAGCCATTTTCTAGTTATGCCATGCATGTACATTGAGATACTAATAGGTGCATTACATTGAGTCTAGCCATTTTCTAGTTATCCCATGCATGTACATTGAGATACTAATAGGTCCATTACATTGAGTTTAGCCATTTTCTAGTTATGTCATGCATGTACATGTAAACGTCAAACACTCTCTTAGATAATGATAACCTATATATTTGAGGATATAATTAGTTCTTTCTGAATTTCAAGTACTAGCGTTATGTATAGACTCAGAGTTTTGATCAGACTCTTGGCATAGAGCAATGTCTTAATAGCTTACATATATATCTACCTAAAATGGATTTTAACCTATGCAATTAAAAAAAATTAGGTTATTTTGATTTACAGAAAGTGGGGGACACATGTACTTGAATTCCACATACTTAACATATGATGGTTAGATCGGGGCCATATCAAGCTGAGCATTGATACTAGGATTCTCGTCATGTTCTGCCCAACAGTAAAAACAACTATGATCCTCGTAAACTTTACATGTTGCTAAAGGATGCAAAGTGCAAACTAAAAAGTCAACTTTTCGCGATCCACATGAATCGCACGTGCTAAGTACAATAGAGAGAGATGGTTTGGCAACTACGAAAACGTCGTGTCCATCATCACGAAACTAGTCTGAGTTTTATAGCTACTATTATGATTACATTTAGTCCCCCACTCTTTACTATATGGGTAATCTGAGGCAGGCCATGTTCATAATTTAAATAATATAAAGTTACATAAATATGGCAGGCCACATTGATGTTCTTTTCTTGTAGAAAAGTCAATTAAGGTTAGTTTTATCTGGATTTAGAATGTAATTTAATGGGTTGATTGATCCTAGAGATCTATCTTTTCTCCCTGTCAACTTTACTAGTAGTTGTGACGCACCACAATCCACCCATAAAGTTTGTTTTTGCTTTTCTGGGATATGGATTGATTACCTCTAAATTGAAAATGGTTCAAGCCCTACATGTAAAAAAAAACCCTACTGATCATTCAATTCTTTTTTTTTTGTCGACTCCCATCTTTCAAGATCAAGTGGTAGACGGTCTTGAAACGTTTCGAAGAGACGTTCTATCCGGCTGAGTCTGATCTATATGGGAAAAAAGAACATCACTGATCATTCAATTTTATTTTAAAAATCATATTGTCTGGTATACTGCTTTTTCAATCATGAAGTTCCAGATTTACTTAATCTTTTAACATATTGTTCACATTGGTATACATAGAGTAGAATAAATTTGTGTATATACTAAAATAAATTTATACAAGCATGAAGCACCCCCATCCATCCAATACTGTAAAATGAAATTCTTTTGCTTTCATTTCATATATATCATTATTAACAACACTGTGTAATGATTTTTAAACAAGTACAAACACAATTATGAATTTATTGATAATATTCAGCATTAAAATAGATAAATAAAATACTTGAGAAAGAAATATGTAATAAAAAGACAAACAGGACATGATGCCAAAATAAAACAGTTAATCCGATTTATTTTTCTCTACATAATTTGAGGTTTGGTGTCCGTTTACAAAATGAATTACATCGTCCAATTATTAAAGTTAGTGAATTATTATTCGGAAAAGAAAGAAAGTAATAAAATTAATTACACGAATATTTGACAATAATAAATCAAGAACCTAACAGTTATTTTGTTGGGCTTTAAATAGGCCTAAAAGAACCTGACATCTTACTAATCCAGTCGCCCAAGTCGAAGATTACTAAGAATTTGTCGGCGCCACGAAGAGATGATGATATTTAAGGTTGGATTTGGAAATCATGGGCCTTTGGGGGCATGTTCTGATACAGTGTTTTTCGTTTACACACTTTTCTAAACACTGATTAGTTTTGTGTCTCTCGACAATATTCCAAGGTTGTCTCTTCAGGTGGCAGTACGAAGTATAAACCTCAAAGTTTTTGGTAGTACGCTAGTACTAGTACTGTTACATTTACTGCTCTGTCAGTGTTAAATTATTGGTTCTTGTCACTTAATGGTTCAGATTCTGCGACCTCAGTTTGGTAAAAAAAAAAAAAAACAGATTCTGATATCTGACAGCCACCAGCAATGGTTGTTAATTTATCGTACCGTTTTTTTTTTTTGCTTTTCTGTGATTAGTACTACGATATTAAAAACCATACATTAACTTTGTTAACATCTGATTTAGACTACTATGGTGGTTTTCTTGCTCAGACTCCATTTCTACTTTATGTCGTTTGTTCTAGGTGTAACCTATATCTTTTATCTCTTGTGAGGTCCTTCCTGAGTCTTATTTTGTCACGTTTTTATTATATTGTCTGATCATCATCACAGCCTACTCACTTCACTAAAGTTTGATAACGAAACAAAAAAGGTCTTCTTGTTCTGGAGGGCTAAGATTATTTAATTAACATTGTTTAGCATTAATCATTATGGTTATCACTATTAAACAAACAAGTTAGTGGCATGACATGTTCTTATAATAATCATTGAGATTAAGGAATTGTATGGGTTGACTAAGTTGATTTGCTGCCCTCACTTAAGTGTTTTGCCTTCTCATCTTCCTTATTAGTAATTTGAATTGTTTATAATTTTTTCACTCACGTGAGTCTAACATCTTCTATTTGGAAGCTGAAAGAGTGAAGAAAGTAACATTTCATAATGTTTTAAAACTGTACAGTGGAAATGATAACTCTGTTCTGAATATTGAACTACAGGTAAGCACATACATATCAAGCTTTACAACATAACTTCACCTAAGCCTAGTTGACTTTGTGTTCAGAAACCAGGTATGAATCTTTCAGGTCCTAGTGGTGCTATATGCACGCTAAAGCTGTCCTGTGGTGGTTGATCAGATGATGAGGTAGTCTCACTGCATCCAGCTATCTTTTGGCAAGTCTGAATGAGACAGTCCCTGCAAGTGGGACAGGACGAGTGTGAACTTAGCCATTTGTCTATACACCGGACATGGAATCCATGGTGACACTTTGGCAGAAGCTTGACTCGCTCTCCGGCCACAAACTCCGAGAGACAAATGGCACACTCTGTATCAAGACCAGGCAGATTCAGCTCTGTAGAGTAACTTACCGTCTGGAAACTCTTCAAGGCTTTTTGTTTCACCCCTGTGTTGGCTAAGCGAACTGAGAGGTCGTCACTAGCCTCGGATGATAACAAATTGGAGTACCTCAACATACATCTTATGATAGAATGCAGTCCAAGTGAGCAAACTAGTGCACATAAGAGGACTGATAGAACCATGACAACATTTGCATCAAAGCTCATATGGTGTTCATAAGAGTATGATGCTTTATGAGCCTCTGAAAATGGTGGTGATGCCGAGGTTGGTGGTTGATACGCTGTGTGAAGTAGTAGCCTTCTTGAGTAAAAGTTTCCAAGAAAATCTGGAATAGTGGGAGAAAAAGTTGTAGTCGACATTATAAAACCTAGTTTGAAGAGTTAGATAGATAGATAGATCTTCTAGGTTTTGTTGCAAGTTCTATATATAGTGGAAAGGTAAAGGTTTTATATATTCTGAGATATAATGGGAAATAGTTTTAAGCGAATTTTCTTAATTATGGTTGGTGGAATATGCTGGGGAAATTAGCAAGGTTCTTTAGTGTTTTTTATTTAATTTTAGATATTAGTCTGCATCTAGTATGGATTCTCCACTGAATTTGAATAATATTAGTGTGTTTTCTTATTTAAAATGGGTCCTTCATACCATTTACTGCTAATGTGGCGCCATGTGGCAGTAAAATTAGCGAATCAAATCCTCAAGAGTTGCTCACAGGGACCCATGAACTTTAGCTGAAGCAGCCATGAACTTTCCCTAATCTTTAAGACAACATTGAGATAATACACCTCTTGATGAGTCTTGGCACATGTCACTGGCTTCTCTTTGTCTTGATGTTTGATGCAAACTAGTGACATCCATCTATACTGGTTATCTTTAATTTAGATCCAAATGATGTATTAACTAGGGGTGGATATTTATGTATGTGATGCTGCAGAGCAGGGAGAATCTATCCTTGGACACCAGTCTCACTCTGAAAATTACATAAAGACTATAAGCCTATCTGAAAACGATTTGTCTTTTCTTTTGTTTGTGCCACTAGGTTCCATATAGCTGGTAAGAACAGGTAGTGGTCTGTTTTTTTATCCCTTCTGAAAGTGATTAGCTTTGCCTTTTTATTGCTTTATTTTGATTGGAATACCATGTGATACTCGTGCGTCCTTTGGTTTATATTCTTGATTTGGTAGTCTTCCTAAAACATGATTATTAAAGAGGAAGGAGTAAAAAAATCAAGATGTCAATAGATAAAGTTTGGAGCATCCAGTTTGTCTTGGGGTCTCTTCTTTTGTGCATGTCTCGGCCTGTTCTTTCATTCAGATTCGTCAAATTTGTATTGCTATTCCTACTCATGTTCGCTACTAAGAGGAACTGTTAGTTAATATGGATAGCTTTTGGCTTTTGCTTCCATATTTTTTACTATTTTTTTGCTGTATAACCAAGTTTATAAGTCAAGTCCTACAACTTGTTCATCACATCTTGTAAACTTCAACTTCCATTTTCTAAAATAATTTTTAAATCTTTAGCTAAAATAAAGTTTGAGGCCTTTTTTCCAAAACTTATGTTAAGCCTACCTATATCAGAAAGCTTTCATTGGTGGACCTTTTTACAAAATAGAAATTGATCATGTAAAGTTGTATCAGTTTAATGTAGATAAAAATAGTCATCCTCTTGGAACACCAACCGTAAGAATATTTCTGGATACAATTGATTTTGAAATGGTTTGGCCTCGTTCAGTGTCACTGAAGAGTCATGTAACTATTTTCAGGAGAACGCTAATTAAACCTCTTCGTGTTCTAGAGTTTGCATTTCTCTAATACATAGGTTTAAGCTCTCTTAATTATCTGTCTAGGTTCAGTCTGTAATACATAGCTTTTAGCTTTTATCTCTTTTAATTCTTTGTCTAGGTTCAATCTTTAATTGATCAATCATTCATACTAGTCTTTTTATTCTATCTTGATTATGTAGAGAACTTCAGTTTGTGCTTGGATGAATTGGCACGACCTTTTGTGTCCACCTTTTGCCCTCTACAAGGTTATGCCGACAGTATTTTTTTCCATTTTTTATTGAATGGTTCTGAATTATTTAAAACTCTAGTATCCATTATAGTACATAAAGCATGTATCTCCTGATTGAAGTGTTTAGTCCAGCAAGACGGCTTTGTTTAAAGCTATATATGACTAATTAAAACGTTTTATCACAGATACCATTGTGTCTCCCTTGGGGCCTAGTAGATGGTTCTCTCCCTACATAGCTGCTACTTAGGCTAATAGTAGATGGTTCTTCCCTTCACCCAAAGTAGGGCTGGACACAAGGCGGGGTACTTACTATTTTAGCAATACTCGATACTTGACTTACCTTTTACGAGTAATGAAAATTTCAACTTATATTTGACTTGTCAAAAAACGAGTACTTATTATTGCGAGTATTTACTAAAAAATAAGTTACTTACAAGTTATCTGTTATATTGTATTACTTATTATTTGTGAGTATTTGTAAGTTACGTATAAATATTTATGAGTTACTTGTGAGTAACGTAAATGTAATTTTAAATATTTAAAAATTATTTACTGAATAATGCTATACCGACAAATGAAAATAGAAGTTTATTTTTGTTGTTGAACAAGGAATAAACACGAATATTAAAATAAATAAATATTTGTACATAATATAAACAATAAGAATGAAGAAAAATATAAAAGATTTCTAATGGAATATTATTTACTTCACACAATAACGAAAACATATTTTCCAAGCAAGTAACGAGTAGTATCAAGTCGAGTAGTTAAATTTTTTTACATACTTGTTACTTGACTTATACTTGCAAATATATAAATTCCACTATTTGATACTCGACTTGATGATGCCGAGTACTTAAAAAAACGAGGCGAATACGGGGCGTATAACGAGTTTAAGGCGAATAGCGGGTATTTATGCCGAGCACTAACTAAAAGAACATGGTGTTTATTGAACACTACATACATTAAGTGCACCATGAATCAGTTTCTCGTTAAACGTTTAATTAAAAGGTTCATTTTATGATGTTTTTTTTTGTCATTATCCAGCATTAGATGTTACTGTAGCTGTACAATTGCAGTCTAGCGAGTAGTTAACTCCAACTGTGACCACTGTTTATTCCTTAGTTAACATCACGTTGTTGCAATTTTCACACGTATGATGGTGTATTACAACAATATGATTCAATACTTATCTCATATCCCATAGATGCCTAGTGGGCTCATGTTAACTGTAAATCAAATTCTTCTGTTGTTAACCAAAGTTTTGAATACCATGACCACGATAGAATGTGTTAGCATAGACGTGTTTCTATCACTTTAGCAGATTGTTAAATTGGAGCGTTCCATTACGATCTCAGACCATGTGTGTTGTTGCTTAATATATTACAAGACTATAATAAGTATTCCTCAAAGTAGCTTTTAAATTTGACTATTACCCACTCACTTAGGTGGGTTTTGTTTGACCTTATAACGGGTTGGGTCCATGTACCTTTCTAAACACACTGAGTTGATTTCTTTATCATTGGGACTAAAGAATCCATAATATATTCTTACCCAAAATACATTCTATGGTCGGTCTTTGCGCATGTAGATGTTATTACTGTGCCAAACTAGTTAGTATGTTCTGCTTCTTCTTGCAATACCTTGATGTCCTGAGCTTCATCGAAACAATTTCTTTTCAGACATTCAAAAGAAGTGGTCATGTTGTTCTACTCTGTGTTTGTGACATGAAATATGCAGATGAGTTCTCTGTAAAGCACTTATCGAACTTTTCTTGGTAGTTGACGGTTTCATGGCCCGTTTTGAGCACAACCGGAATGAAACAATTATCTTGGTCTCCAAATTTTAAAGAGTTAATATATATTGGTTTGATGGCCCTGAATTATTTTTAAATAAAATATTAATATCTATATAAAATAATTATAGCTTCCAAAATTCAGATTTTTTTTCCAAACTTTGTAACATTTTGGGCTTCATGGAAAAATAAAAGCTTCATTGTATTTGATTTGAATCCTACGGCTAGATACATAAACTATGTTTTTTTTTGCTTTACGTAATCTATGTTCAAATCTAAAAAAAAAGAAGAACCAAATTCTTAAAATCCAGTTGTCTGTTGGCATAGTCTCTAGCTGCTTTCTCTAAAAGTGTTTACTCTTGCTTCAGGTTCTAGAGGAGTAATCCTTATATCTATGCTTTCTCTTGGTGTTGATGCAGCTTCATCGCCTAAGATCTTTTGGCATGTCTCAACTAGACAGTGTCTGCATTTCGGACAAGTAATATGTTGCGTAAGCCACTTGTCGATACAACGAACATGAAACCCGTGGTTGCACTTAGGAAGCAACCGTATCTGTTCACCAGCTACGAAATCAGACAAACAAATAACACACTCTTCGCCAAGCCCTAAGAGGTTCATCTCGGATATGTATTTCACTACAGGGAACATCTTGAGAGCTTTCTTCTTGATGCCTTTGCTTGCTTCTGGTGTGGACGGGCTTGAGATGGGATCAGAGATCAAGAAACTCGAGTGACGTCTGAACACGCAACGGATTACGTAGTGCAACCCGAGTGAGCAGATGATACCGCAGACAAGGACAGATAGAATAAGGAGAACGTTGCCGCTCAAGGTGTTCTTGCCAGGTACATAAGCTTGTTGCTGAAGCATTTTTCTCGAGATGGAATGTTCTTGGAAGACTTGAGATGAAGAGGTTAAGTGATTCGAAGACATGTTTACTCTCTCTTTTTTTTTTTCTTTTGATTTGGTTTCTCTTATGCTGTTTTATTCCCTGAAGTGGTTGAAATTTGGGTTTATATATAGTTTGATGATACTTTAAGTTAGTGGGGACTATATGAATATTATATCTTATAGATCCATTTATTTTAAGGCCTTATCCAATTCCACCAGTCCTTGTGTGTGTAGATTGTGCCTATGTCCATATCATTTCCAATTACAAAATGCTTTTGTAGGGACAATCATTTTAGTCTTGGAAATAACATATATCTCTTTTTAATAATATATAAATACAACACTAAATAGTCTTGATATCTATTCTTCTTATTTTAATCAAAGAGGAAGGGATGGACCTTGTTGAGTTGTTGCATCTCTATTATTATGTGTGGAGAGTTGTAAAGGAGTGTTGTTTTTTTTGTTTGAAAGAGTAAAGGAGTGTTGTTTGTTTGTTGCTTTTATAATTCTCTGTATTATTGTTGTGTTCTTCTCTTTACCATGTGTTATGTCGCTTCATAATTCTCTATGTGTGTTTATATGTCAAAATATCTTTCTAATAAAAGAAAGTTTACTTGAGTAGATTTGCAAAGTTTTGGAGATACCTGTAAAAAGTAATTGATTATATATGAAATGAAAAGAACTACAAAACAAAAGTCAGTGAAATTACTATACGTGTACAAATAGATTACAACTGCGTATAGTGGATCTATGTTATTTAGACAATTATTCATATATTATTAATTACTTTTTACAGGTAGTATGTGCAAAATCGTTTTTTATAGTGTAATGAATTTTCCAAGATCTAAATATATACTTTACTTGTCTGCATATACATATCAATTATGCGAACCTTTTTGTGAATTATTGAGTTATATCATAATATTTATTCGTATATTCGTTGTGCAAAAAGCCAAACAAAAGAGGAGGAGACGAAACAGATGTAATCTGCTCTATTGCCCCTTTTCGGTTCTACTCCACAAACGTTATCGTCTGGATTTTGGTTTTGTTTTTTGCGTCGTTATTATCTCCCCTAACCTTAATCTCGGATGCCATGTTTTGCTGCTTTTAAAATTTAATGTGTTAATTTAATATAATTATATAAACTTAAACACAATTCTCCAACCCTCATAAATATAGTATGATAAATCTTAACGAAAATCGATATTCAGTACGAACATTCGTTTACTGTATTAAGAAGTTGCACGCTTCATCAAGTCTGACTGAGAAGAAACATAGTTAGCTTTGAGTGAACATTAATAATTTTTTAACTAAAAAGGGGCTTTAGTGTGTATAAATCCTATATAGTATGTTGAATATTCAATTCAAGATGGAGACTTGGAGATAGATACAAACTGAAATTTGTGGTTGTGGACATGGATTAGACCACCCCAAAAAAATCATACACAAGTGGGATACTTGGCTTTTTAACCCTAACTTTTTCTCAATTTTTTATTTGCCTCTTTGATTAATTTAATGAGCGATTGATGAGAAAGTTAATTAAGAGATATAGATCAAGTTCTTGGTGCTCATGGGAAATATTTTGCATGTCACGTAGTCTACTGATAAGTTACAGAATTTGAAAATAATCTTGTAGTAGTCCCATAACTAAATAAGAATATTGTGTAGTGCGTTAAAAGAGATTTTAAGATGAATACTGATTTCCACATCGATGTTATCATAGACATAGTTAAACGTACAGGCAGCATAAAATATGTTTACGAATATTTTTGTGTTTTTAGTCCAGAAAAGAATATTTGTGTTGCTTAATTAGATCAGTAATATCATTTTTTGCTAAGAATGCTAATATCATATTAATGATATTCAGATTTTACAAAAAGTTATATTTAGAATCTACTCTACCATGACAAAAAAAAAAAGAACAAACAAGATAGAACAAAGATGCTTAGGGAGAGTCTTTAGAAAAATATTAATTTTATAATCAATGGATCCCATGAATATTTAAAAACTTTATGTAAGGATCAATTCTTACACTATTCATGGGCTCCACTGCACACGTGGCGGTCTGTGAATGGTCAGTTTATTTTTTCTTTTAAGAAAAAATCTGAAATACCCCTTTTTATTTTTTTCCTAAGAACTCCCCTAAGAACTCCCATTGCACATGCTCTATCCTTCCTTTTTATAAGCCTAAATTTTTTTTAGATAACCCAACTCGACAAGAGATTAAGAAATTGCTTCATATCCTTCCTTGCCATAACTGTATGCCTCACTTCTTTGTAGATCATCCTCGCAATCACCGTTGGACCAATAACTGTGTTGTTATGGTAGATGTTGTTTCTCTGTTTCCACAGGTGGTAAACCGTTGATTGGACGGCTAGTTTACGAAGAAAGATCAATAATATCATTCTCGTAGAGTTAAGAAAATGATAATAATAACCGACACTTATACTAGGGTACTAACAAATTTTTACAATATGTAGTGCTTGAGTGAAGCTGGGGCAGAACTGTTTTGAGATTTTGGTTTTAACAAATATCAAATATTGTTTCAAAATTTTATAGTTTGATTTGCATTTTTACAGTAAGTTGAAATATTTTTTAAGGTTGGCAAGTTTAGAATATAAAACTACTCTTTTTTATTGAATCTCACCTAATCTATAATGAGTAAAAATGGTTCATGTCCTTATATTTCATTTTGGGTTCCAACTCATTTCTAATGAGTACTATCTAAAATAAGCATAGTTTAATTATATTATAGTATTATGTTAAACAAGTTTCTAACAATAAATATTTTGTATTTTTTTCTTAAGGTCTCCATGAGTCAATCAGAGTTCAAATTCAAATTGTATATGGGCTTGTAATAGCCCAATTAAAAGAAGTATGTTATAAAGGATAATGTCGATATAACTCGTTTGGAAAATCACATAATTTTTAAAAGATAACTCAACATTACAATAACAACAAAAGAAACTCTAAATATGAGAAGATCCCTTGGCAGAAAGTTTTCAGCAATAAAGCATTCATTCTGAACTCCATGTGCCCACGGGTAGTGGAAAATTGTGTAAACTTCATTGATTCTATAATATAAAGGTTCTTTGATGATTGTGTTGGTCTTTCTCTGTTTCACTAACATTTTGACTGCTAGTTTTACTGTTTTCTGTCTTGGATCTTCCTGCTGCGGTTGAGAATGTGAAGCGAGAAGTTCTTTCAGCTTCAGGGCATCAGAATGTTAAAAGTTTACTACGCCATGGAGGATGAAGAGTATATGTATATAGTGATGAAGTGAGTAATATTTACACCATCGTTGTTTGAGTAATTATGAGAGGAGGTTATTTTTGCTTTCCTCTCTCCTTCGAATGTTACCTCATCTAGAGCATATAAGCAAACTTTTAACATCAAGTCATTTTCTTTAAAACTAATAAGGGGAGGTGTTTATAAAGCTTAAATTTCTATAGAGTTTGTTAATTTTAACAATTGAGAACTTTATTTATGAAAAAGAATACTATATTAAAAAATCTATTTCCATATCTTATGAAGCATGTGTATATTCACAAAAAGAAGTCATTATTGACAAGTCAAATAATGTGCATCAATTTCTTTCTTTAAGTTACTACAAATTTTAAGATATATTTTGATTTTTTTGTCATCTTCAAGATATCTCCTAGACATTATTTGAAGAAGTAATTCACCATATATCATCGCTACAATCAATTTCACAAGTAATAGATCGACATGCGTTTAGACAAAATATGATGAGTAATTATATTTAGTGTTGATTCTATTTCTGGTAAATCTTTCAAAACATGGTAATAACTCATACATTATTCTTAAAATAAATTTATTTTAATATAATATTAAATAATATAAAATTTGTAACATTATTTTTTGTCAATTTTATAATCATACAACTTTTGTCAATAAACAAGATTTTAAAAATTTAATAGAATTTTTTTTTTAAAAAAATATGATTTTTAATCAATACGATTTATTTCCTATTGGTATCTACAAATTTTATAAATTCTGCTGAGTTTTATTTTTGATAATCATATAATATTTTTTAATCATTTTCTACTTTTATACAAGTTAATTTTATATATTTTAACAAAAAACTATTTTCATATGGATATAGAGTTATCGGGATGATATACATATTTTTAGTTAAGTATGTATGTTGATGAAAAAAAAAACCTATCTAAGATGATAATTTTAAATATATACATAGAAATATAATTTACAATAAATTAAACGGTTTAATTTATCTTAATTTATGTTTATTTAAATCAAAATTTAGATTAAAATATTAATATGGAAATAACCAAATCTAAAATAGTAACAAATTTATTTATATATCATTTAAGTTTATACTTTTTACTTCTGTGTAGGAAAGCACCTAACAAAGGGACAATTGCAAAAATACCATTTTTGTTGTACCACAATTCAACTTTACCACCACTCAAGGGACATTTTCATAAATACACAATTCATTAATGGTTAAATGACCTAAATGTCCCTCTTCCTTTGACCCATAACTGTATGATGCTCTTTCAACGGCGGCTCTCGAAGATCGGCTCTTATCTCCCACGAGGCATCCGCTCTTATCGCCGTTAAAACCTGTGACGTACTCTCTTATCGCCTGAAACTTACAACCATTGATTTCCCGAAACAGAAAAGTCTCCAAAAATCTCATAACCAATCCATCTCCAGCTTACTGCCACCAGAGACGATTCTATGACTTCGATTCTCAACAACACAGTCTCCTCCATCCTCTCCTCCCGAGTTAACACCACCGAACGACTCGGAGTTCTCTCCCTTCGGAATCCAGATTCCGTCGAGTTCACTCGTCGACGTACCTTATGGTCGACGTCGGACTTCAAAACTTCTGGAACATTCTATGGATGTTGAACTCGTTTCTTCGAATTTTTAACTGATTTTGTTACGTTACGTAGGGCGGAGATTGGTTGTGCGTGCGGCTGAGACTGATACTGATAAAGGTTTTGTAGCTCCTTTTGAATTTTCATTTTCTTGAATATTTTTCGTTTTAAGGTTAATGAGTTTGAATCTCGACGGCAGTTAAATCTCGGGTACCGGACAAGGCACCAGTCGGTGGTTCAAGCATTAACCAGCTTCTTGGTATCAAAGGAGCTGCTCAAGAGACTGTAATTTTTTTCTTCTTCTTCTTCTTCTCCGAATTTTTCTTTTTGTTTTTTTTTTCTCCAATGCATATGAAATTTAGGTTCGGATGTATCACAATTTATAGAAATGAGAACAAAAAAAATCATCATAATTGTGCATAGTGATGTTGAGTTGCATAGTGTTATTGAAGTTAGCTTCTTTTGAGTTTGGTAGCAATCAGATGTTAGAGATTACAATCTCCTCTGTTTTAGGAAACTACTTTCTCAACACTCTCGTAAATAATAGTCTCCTTCATGTAAAAAAGAATACACAATAATATACATTCCTTATCCCCACGGCTAACACGTCTCTTTCCATGGTCTGGAACATTCCCTTTGCCACAGAGAGTTAAAAAAACTCACTGAATTAGTGTAAGTAATACTTTATTAACACATCTTCTAGCTCAATAAGACTAATATATCTTGTATGTTGATGGAATCTCAGGTGGCAAAAGATAAGTGATCCTGAAAGCATAGCTGAGATACTTAAACAGGTATACAAAGACCATTCCACTGATGTGGATAAAGTATTCTCACGTATTGAGCTGTGCTGGTTTGCTCAAGAAAGCTCATGAGCTCTCTGTTCTCTGTGACGCTGAGGTTGCCGTCATTGTCTTCTCCAAGTCTGGCAAGCTCTTCGAGTTTTCAAGTACTAGGTGGTAATATTAATCAAATCATTTTCTTGATTCCTTTTTCCTATTTGCATGTCTATATTTTGATTTTGATGGCTTCTGAGGCTTTAAATATGTACTTGCATGTTTGTTTGGATTCATTAAATCCTAATTAATCTCAGATCTAATTTGTCACTTTGGTTTTAGCATGAAGAAAACGCTTTTGAGATATGGCAATTGGTAACTTTAAGGTTTGCATCTCCAGCTGATGATGTCAAGGTTCATTTTGTATCTCTCTTTTGTCATTGCATGTGTGCAACCTTGTCCTATCATTGACTTCAATTTGAGATCTGAGAAAAATCACAAAACCAAAGTTATTCACTGGCTTGATACTGCTATGCTGTGTGGGAAATGCCAGAGAGATAGAATCTTGGTTCTTAGTCCTGTCTGGATTTGATCTTTTCTTAACGTTGATCCGGTTCCAACTGCCAAACAATCAAGGCTATCAAACATCCATTTTGTTATGCTTCTACTTCCAAGAACTTGAGTATACTATAGATAACAAAATTAGAGACTTCTTTGATTGTTACAGTTATTAGCTTCTGAAATATTTGGCATCGACAGGAAAACTCTTCTTTCTGTTTTGTGCTCAAAATCTTTTGACTGATGTTAACAATGACATTGTTGTCTTCAGGTGGAAGCAAAGCGCAGGAAAAGATATTCGCGAGATTCTCATGGGTGAAAGCCACAGGGGATGGCAAGTTATAATTTGGAAGCTCTTTGGTGCATATTTTAGTTAAGTTAGGATTATCTTGTCGTGGTTCTGTATGGTACAAGGGAGAGATGTTCAAGACAAGTTATGGTGGCAGAGTCACTTGTATAGACTTCCGGTGGCGTTTAAGTTAACTTTAAGGTCTGTTTACTGTTGTATGTTTACTGTTGTCTGTTCTTTTGAGTCTGATGAGAACAGATGATCAGATCTATCTTCCATTTTCTTTATCATGTTATCAGATCCTGAAACTTTTTCTTCTAAATTATTTCAACATACAAAAAAGAGACAACACTGCAAAATAAGTCTCAGATTGATTTTTTTTTTCCGGCAACAAGAAAGAATAAGAACATGATACAGACTCTTATAAGTACTCTAATTTTATCTTTTTCTTTTACTTTCCAAGTAGACCGGAAAAAGAAAAAGATCCGCTTGATTCAGCCCAATATACAACAACCCAATCTCTCATAGGGTCTATTGATGATGCCTTGATCACAGATGTGTATCCTCGTTGAAGACGAACGTGTACCGTCATTATACAACAACCCAATCTCTCATAGGGTCTATTGATGATGCCTTGATCACAGATGTGTATCCTCGTTGAAGACGAACGTGTACCGTCATGCCTGGTCTCTAAATCAATTAGTTTTGAAAATAAGATGTATTGTATTGTTATTATAGCCTCAAGCATATATTAGTTGTCTAATATGCGATAATGATGAGGATGATGGCAACTCTTGTTTAATCAATTCTGCATGGTCAAGGTAGATGTCAGAAAAATCTGAATCATGTTTTAGTTGTTACTTCCCATTGCAAGCCCTGTCAGGAAGGAGATAATCGTTTGTATGATAATTTATAAAGGGTTTATAAAGGTATGTAGATAATTTATAAATGTTTATAAAAACAATTTATAAAGATTATACAACTTTATAAAGGTTTATAAAACAATTTATAAAAGATATGTAAAATTATTTGTAAGTCCATACCATTTATAAAGGCTTATAAAACAAGTTATTAAATCTATAAACTATTTATAAATGTTTATAAGAAAATTATCAAAAGCTTATAAATAATGTTTTTATTTTATTTTATGCAGAGCCGGTCTCTTAAAAGATGTCGTAACAAGGAAAAGTTTATAATGACACCTAAATAATGGCTTGTATGATAATTTATAAGGGTTTATAAGGATATGTAGATAATTTATAAATGTTTATAAAAACAATTTATAAAGATTATACAACTTTATAAAGCTTTATAAAACAATTTATCAAGATATGTAAAACTATTTGTAAGTCCATACCATTTATAAAGGCTTATAAAACAAGTTATTAAATCTATAAACCATTTATAAATGTTTCTAAGAAAATAATCAAAAGCTTATAAATAATGTTTTTTTTTCTTTTATGCAGAACCGGTCTCTTGAAGGATGTCGTAACAAGGAAAAGCTTATAATGACACCTAAATAATGGTTTGTATGATAATTTATAAGGGTTTATAAGGATATGTAGATAATTTATAAATGTTTATAAAAACAATTTATAAAGATTATACAACTTTATAAAGGTTTATAAAACAATTTATAAAGATATGTAAAACTATTTGTAAGTCCATACCATTTATAAAGGCTTATAAAACAAGTTATTAAATTATTTGGATTATTTGTGTTTGCAAGAACGAAACATCTATAATGGTTAATAAAACTATTTACGTGTGTTTATAAGAGTTTATAAAACCTTGTATGAACCGTTTAAGAAGTTGATAAAAGACTTATAAATATTTATAAACTATTTATAAAGGTTTATAAAACTATTTATAAAGGTTTATAAAACTATTTATAAGGGTTTATACAACCATGTACAAGAACTTATCACCCATTTATAAGAGTTTATAAATCTATTTAAAAGGTTTATAAATCTATTCATAAGGATTTATACAAAATACAATATTAAAATAGTTTAATAATCTTCATAAAACAATTTATAAGAGTTTTAATTTAGAAGAGTTTATAAATCATTTATAAATAGATTTACTCAATGCACTTCTAATGTTCTTCGACTCGTATACGGTCCCAACGTTTCCTATTCACACACTGTTCTAGAATATCAAAAAGCATGCTCTTCTTAAAATATCAGAAAATTAATATAATCTTATATAATGCTCTTCTTAAAATATCAGAAAATTAATAGAATCTTATATAATGTTGACAAAGAGTATGCCATTGTTATCCTTGCAAGTTAATATACTAAAACTTTAAGACCTCTACATATTCTTCCAGTAGTTTTGACTTGCTTGGATGAAATACACGTGATGGGCCTCCATCTAATAGTACTCGAAGCAATCCGTCCTGGTTAAGATTATGAATATAATTTTATCTAACAAAAGGCAAACACTTCAGAGCTTTGTCAATAATGTAAACAAAACCAACTGAGATTAGACTACATACAAGTGATGCTTGAAGCAGGCTTGTGACTACCCGATCCCTCAGTGGCTCCATTATCACACTACATAGCTGTCCAAGTTCCTGGAGGCAAAGTAATTGGAGTTTTTGAGTTAGCATTGTCGACAAAAATGATGTTGCCTGTACAAATCTCGTCGTCAAGGAAATGTTATGCTCGAATGGCTTCTAGGCACCACACTTTTTTAGAAACTCAAAATCACACTACTCTGTGGCGGTGCAGAGCTCATGTAAACTTCAGATGCCTGGCATATGTAAAAACAAGGACTTGTTTTTAAGATCAGAGTTCTTACTGTGTCAAGGGGTTCGATTAATGCTTCCAATCTCGATTGAGAAACACTTGGCTTGTACAGATTCTCAATTAATGGCTCCCTTAGATTGCAGAAGATAATCTTTGTTCCTGCAGTGTGAAAGAATCAATATTAATGCAGCCCTTTGATGATGAATACTTCAAGGAGTTAAAAGAGATGACATCTCACCAGTAAACTCGCAAATACGATCCAGAGCTCCATTGATATCTTTTCTGCTCCCTCAAAAGATTCCTTCTGGTTAACACTTTCTCAACCAAAGAATTTCCTTTAATGGAGCAGATAGATAGTCCATACTGATGACAATCTTTTCGCGAGGTCTTTTTGCTATCCATCGCTCCCATATGCTGTCTTCTAACTTGCTTAGTTGGCTAACAGCATACTGTGAAAAGCATATAATAAGTTTATCGATAGCAGTGAAACTTTTAAAATAGTGCTTGAACTGAGGAAGCGAGTCTTGAAGTTACATGTAAAGTATTGAGCTGAACGCAAAGGACAGCAGTTGAAGGAACATCAATGTTAGTCGACCATCTCTCATCCGGCAGTTTTGACTCGAACAGTTCCTTCCCATGGAAAAGTAAATATCTTTTCTTGGATATTACCTTGCTGTAGTGAGGGAACCCGACCTGGAGATAGATGCAAAGGTCTGTCAATTTTGACTGAGACTAACCTAGAAAAGTTTAAATTGACTAACACTCATCTGCAAGCTAGAATAGCATCATCGCTTACCCGTCTTGATATATAAAGGATTCCACTGCTACTGTAAATCTTGCACAGTTTAGTGTATGCAGTACCACAGATCTAACCTGGAAGGGAACTAGCCAAGTTTTCAAAAAAGAAAAAAAAACAGGAAAACGGCAACGAAGACCAAAGGGTATTAATAAAAAGCAAATATATACTTGAAGCCCCACTATACCTCTTGGTATGAGCTCAGTAGATAGCCACATGAAAGAAGACCAAAGGTTGTAACCAACGAAGGATTTCTTTTGGATATCAATATACTAAACCCAGTTCCCATCTGCACATACGATATATAAGGATCTTTTGTGAGACCCACTGGCCACAAGTAGCAATGTCGCCTCTATAAGATCAGATTTATTCAGCTTGACAGACAACACTCAAGAAATAAAGAGAACAAGTTCTAAAAAGGGTCATACCAGATCTGCAATATTACCAACACACTCTCCCTTAGCAGTGACGTCTCCAATGTTCTCTCCTTTAGCAAAAGCTTTATAGATGGGAGTACGAGTAGACTTTGACGTTACTGCTGCAACATTCTGTGATAAAACAGTGTAACAAGAACACAATAATATGACATATTATTAGAGTATCCAAATCTTAAATACAGAGAACTCAAAGTCATACAAGTCTTACCTTATGTGCTGTTGTTAAATAGTTCGCAGAGGCTACATAGTTCGCAGCACTCTTCTTGTTACCAGACAACATGTACACATCAATTCCCTGTCAAGTCAAATTCTCAACGACTTGTGCAGCATCTTCCCTGATTTTATCTTCAAAGCCGATGACTGGAGCAAGTGTATTATCCACCCCAATATACACAACAGACTGGTTGTTGGATTCATGCTCTTCAGATTGCATGTAAGAAGTTCTCAGTGGCTCCATGTCTGCATTGAGCAAGAGTGAATTAAAAAGTGAAGCAACTAATACAAATGATGAACAAATAATACCTCTGAACCCACTCGAGTGTCCCAACTGAAACCCTCTTGTTGTTGACGATAGCAACAGCTCCAGACCCTGGTTCCTCAACAAAGTTATATGCTTTAAGCAAAAGCAAGCTAAGGCATTCATTAATCAACTGAAAGCTTCAGACTTTACAGATGCAAATCGATGCCCAGGGAGAATCCCGCCGATCTCCTCAAGAACGTGACCTAGCTTCATCTCCGGCAACTCTTTGAGAAGCTCGCAAGCTTCCCGCGCTTTAGCCATGGCTGTAGGCTGATCCTCCGCCGTCACCGATGGTAGAATCGGAGCTTCTCCCCAGCCGACGCTGAGCTCGATTTCCGATCGCGACTTTTTGACGGAAGAGTAGATTAGGTATTTTTAATTATTTAGGGTATAAATGTCTTTTTTCTATTAAATTTTTAATGGTAAAGATGATTAAGGTATAAGTGAAATATGGTACAAGTAAAGTGGTAAATTAGGCAAATTCCCAACTTGTTTTAATAAATATATAAAATTCACATTCGTACATCAGTAAATGCCCTAATCGACTAAGGTGCTGTTTATTTTACCATCTATCATCTTCATCCAACTAATCTATCTAGATGATTCATCTAGATGGTCCATCCACATTTTTGAGATTATTTGTTTGTCCATCAAGATGGTCCATCAAGATGGATCATCAAGATGCACTCATGTTTGTTTCTCTGTTTTTCTTTTCCATCTAGATGAGTTTAGTAAAAAATCACTAAAAAATACCCTTATTTTAATTTAGTCTTATGTATGATATTAATTTTAAATATATTTTTTATAATTTTGACGCGAAAATGAGTTTTTGCGGATTTGGGGGAAAAACAGATTTTTGTGGTTTTAGTTGGAAAATGCGTGTTTGCGGTTATAGCGGGGAAACACGTTTTTGCGATTTTAGCGGAAAATACGTTTTTGCGGGAAAATGTGTTTTTCTGGAAAATGTGCTTTTTCGGGAAAACGTGTTTTTGCGATTTTGGCAGAAAAATGTATTTATACGGTTTTGGCAGGAAAACACATTTTTGCGGTTTGAGCAAAAACGCGTTTTGGCAGGAAAACGCGTTTTTGCGGAAAAACATGTTTTGGCGGGAAAACGTGTTTTTGCGGAAAAATACGTTTTGACGGGAAAACGCGTTTTTGCGGAAAAATACGTTTTGTCGGGAAAACGCGTTTTGGCGGAAAATGCGTTTTGGCGGGAAAACGCATTTTTGCGGAAAAATACGTTTTGACGGGAAAACGCGTTTTGGCGGAAAAACGTTTTTTGGCGGGAAAACACGTTTTGGCGAGAAAACGCGTTTTGGCAGGGAAATGCATTTTGGCGGGAAAACGCGTTTTTTGGAAAAATACGTTTTGACGGGAAAACGTGTTTTTTGCGGAAAAATACGTTTGACGGGAAAATGCATTTTGGCGGGAAAACGCGTTTTGCGGGAAAACGCGTTTTGGCGGAAAATGCATTTTGACGGGAAAACACGTTTTACGGAAAAATACGTTTTGACGGGAAAACACGTTTTGACGGGAAACGCGTTTTGGCGGGAAAACTCGTTTTGGTGGGAAAACGCGTTTTGGAGGAAAAACGCGTTTTTTGCGGGAAATGCGTTTTGGCGGGAAAAGACGTTTTTACGGTTTTAGCTGGGAAAAAACACGTTTTTGCAATTTTGGCAGAAAAAACATATTTTTACGGTTTTGGCGGAAAAATGAGGTTTTATCATTGGAGGAAATGTGGTTGTCATGTAAGTTACAAAATAATAGTATGTTTAGGTTTGTAATTTATGAATTATATAAAAGGGTATAATAGACATTATACAATTTTGTAAGAACAATCTGACTAAAATTTCAAAGTCATCCGGATAATCCATCTAGATGAGTTGTACTTTTAGTGTATAAACAAACGAAACTCTCATCTACTGGATGGTGAAACAAACAGGCCCTAAGTATATTAAAAATATTGAAAGAGATCGTCGTCTTCTCTGAACTAAACAAAGTAAGAAATAGAGTGAGTCATGTTTGACGAAAGAAAAAAAAAAGAAATAGGATGAGTAAAAACTATTTGAACTTCGAATGACTTAAAAAACCTCCTTCGATTCTAAAGAAAGAATCCTAAGGTAATGATGCTTACTAAGTTTTGTATACTCTGTTCAGGGTTTTGGATTTTACTCTCTGTTGCTTGTTTCTGAGACTGATTTGATCATATATGATTCTGAGATTTTTGTTCTGTTTGATTGATCTTTTGATAGTGAGTGTAGTTAAAAAAGTTTTAAACTTTGATTCCAATGAACAGTGCTCTCAAAGATGAACAAGAGTAGCAACTCCGAAGGTGCCGAAGCAGAACAGATCATATTCGAGTTCTTTGCTAAAACCCTACACATCATCCTCGAATCAAGGACTCCTTTCGTGTCTTCAAGAAACTTCAGTGATGAGCAGATGATCTGTTCACCTTCCTCATCTTCTTCATCTTCCTCAAGCGTCAGGCCTCGTGACAAATGGTTCAATCTAGCTCTTAGGGAATGTCCTGCAGCGTTAGAGAGTTTCGATATAGGGCGCAGAAGCACTCTAGAGCCTCTGGTTGTTGATGTAGTTCTTGTGGCTACGAAAGAGTATCACTCTGATCAAGATGAGTTGGGATGTGAAACCAAGAACGAGCAGATCATTGAGAGATGGGTTGTGCAGTATGATAATAGGAAGATTAGGGAAAGGAGGTCAAGTAGTAGTAGTAGTAGTAATAAGTTGCAAGTGATGTATAAGAAAGCAACTTTGTTACTGAGATCACTCTTTGTGATGGTTAGGATTTTACCTGCTTACAAGATTTTCAGAGAACTCAACTCCTCTGGACAGATCTTCAAGTTCAAGCTGTTTCCTAAAGTCCCTACTATCATTGAACCCTTCACTCGTAGAGAAGAGGCAGAGATGCACAAGTTTGCGTTCACACCTGTTGATACCATCCGCGGTAGGCTTTGCATGTCTGTGTTGTATAGTTCTCTCTCAGATGTTAGTTGCAGCCAACACTCAGCTCCTGTGTCTCCAACGTTTATTACTGATTACGTTGGTAGTCCTTTAGCTGATCCTTTGAAAAGGTTCCCTTCTCTGCCTCTTTCTTATGGTTCACCACCACCGTTGTTGTCGTTTCAGAGGCGTCATAGTTGGAGTTTTGATCGTTACAAGGAGGCTTCTTCTCCTCCGCCTTCGGTTTCTTGCTCACCGTCACCACAAGCTTTGGTTGCAAATCCTTGTTCTAGTCGCCTTCCTCCTCATCCTTGTCAAGATTTTTCTCCTCCTTGTTCTCCTTCAGGACCTAGACAAGCCGTCCCAAGAAGCATCACGCGTACTGAAAGTGCTCCAGTCAGGATTCCAGCTCCTACATTGGTGGCACCTTCTTCTCATTTGAAACTGTCGAGACATGCTTCTTTGAAGCCTGTGAGAAACACTTGTCCTGTTGAATCTGGAGCAGCATTGGAGAAGGTAAACTTAACTCCACATGTCTACCTTTTTCCTCTTTTTTTCTTAACATCATGTGACTGAACGAGTAAGATTCTGTCTGCACCCTTTTTTTGGTCTTTTAGCTGCATATCTATGGGAGAGAAGAAGACTTTAGGAGGAACTCTGGGGTGAGGCTGTCTTCAAACAGCTCACCGAGGATATCATTTTCTAGAAGTTCAAGTAGATCATACCAAGATGATGTTGATGATAATGATTTCCCTTGTCCATTTGATGTTGAGTATGATGAAATAACAGATCCTAGTAGTAGCAGGTATGGTTTTTAAAAGCTTGCAAATCTCACTGTGTGCTGTCCACTTCATTTACAACCGAACTACACAGTCTTCCACTCTTCCTGTTCCTTTGGATCTCGTTGTAGCTTCCAAAGAAGTAATTTGCTAAAAACCTGGCCCCATTTATCAGTGTGACTTAAGAAGTTTGTTCATGCAGTTCTTTTACTTTGAGATTTTGAAGTAAGTAGCCATTAGAGCCGAATGGTCACTATAGTGCTTCTTCATCTGTGTTACTGTGTAGCTAGCTTTTATCAGTTTTGGCGTATTCTTGTGCTGATCTTCGACATTATAGATAGAAAACATTTGGTTTCACTCTTTAGCATAGAAACCGTGACTCTTCATTGTCGCTAATAGCATGTCACATCTATCTGGTTTATCATCAACTCCAGAAGAGATTGTTGTTATGCTTAGTAGTTGATAATCACTGGAAATGGTTCCGCTTCTTGACTGCTGTTTTGGAACTTCTTATATGTTTCTCCAACAGAAACGGATCTTGCTTTATTGTTTCAGACCATGCTCCTTGGACCAGAGAGGAGATATACATGAACCACCTCTTGAGTTGTCGAGTGGTTCATACCCAAAGAAGTCACAAGATGCTGCTGTTGGTGCTTTAGTGAATATGCTGAAGAAAGCTCCACCTCTAAAACAAGATGTCTCTGAATCTGCCATATCTGAACTTTGCTGGAAAAACAACAAGAACAAACCTGGAGGGGATCAGGAGATAGCAACAGCGTCTATGACAGCGTCAGGGATAGCTCTGGCGGCAAAGACAACAGCTGATGCGTTGGAAGAGCTAAGGTCTTACAAGGAAATGAAGAATGTGTTGCTTAGCCAATCCACATCATCAGCCTTTGCTGTTTCAGAATCTTGATCCCTATTTTTTATTAGTTTGGGTATTGGTTTTTGGTTTTGGTTTTGATTTTATATAATGAGCCTATGTAGTATACTAGTATGTACTAAGCTCTTGAACCGTATCCATGTAAATAAACTTATACCGAAAAGTAATGTAAATAAACTGTAAACCTTTTTATCCCATGTTTATTAATAAAACCCAATAGATAATAAACAGTTTTCTACATAAATATAGTTACAACTATGCTATCTAATGTTTATTGTAATAATAAAGTTAAACTAAACAAAAAAAACTATCTAATATTTAATCTGAAATCTATTCCGAAAAATAGATATATGAAAATTCGGATCAAACGAAATTTTATGTTTGGATTTCCGAATTGAAATCTTTATATACTCCTCTGCTTCATAGTCAGTGTTTAAGTTTTTTCCACAGTTATTAAAATAAATTGTTAACTTTTATTCATTTTATATTAATTTAATCTAATCCAATTAATAAAAAATCATTCAATAAGATACAATTGGTCAAAAACACCAAAACATTAAATGATAAAAATCTGAAAACCCATTTAAATCAAACAAAAATAAAAACTTAAAACCCCTATTAAAATAAAACAGAGGAAGTATTTTTCAAACATAAAAAGATAATTATATCTACATGGTGAAGTTATTTAGACCCGCTGAGATGTTACGCTGTCGTTTATCGAATCTGGGAAGAAGACTAAACCCTAAATAATGTTTAACCGGACAGACGGTCGAGATCTAAATATTTGTCTGTACTCACTCTCTCGTCGGAAGGAAGGAAAGACGAAGAAGGAGAGGATCTGGAAAAATGCCGCTGTACGACTGTATGCTTCTGTTCAAGCCAATAATAAGGAAGGAAGGTCTGATCGATCTCGTCGCTCGCATCGGAAAACACGTTTACAGCAGAAATGGAGTCCTCACGGAAGTCAAATCCTTCGGCAAGGTCGAATTGGGTTACGGTATCAGAAAGCTCGACGGTAGACACTATCAGGTAAAAACAAAGCAATGTTTTAATTCCTCTTGAGGTTCATATTGATTCGAGCTTCTTGGATTAGGATTTCGCAAAGCCAATTCAGTGCTAGTGTTAACATTAGGGTTTAGATTTGCATTTCGGAATATGTACTTGTTGAATTCTTGAAGCAACCTCGTCATATTGTGAACATCTTATCTTAATTCACAGAGAGATATCACAACAGCTTCTTGTTTGAACTTATAGGATTAGTACCAATCTTCTATTTGTCTTTAATTTAATCTTTTTTTTGTTAGCGTCTTCTCTCGCTAATCGGTGCATAATCACGGGTTGGATCTTTAAGTGTGTAATATGTAATTATAAATGGGGTTGATGGGTGCAGGGGCAACTGATGCAGATAACAATGATGGCAACTCCAAACATCAACAAGGAACTTCACTACCTAAACAAGGAAGACAAACTCCTCCGCTGGCTCCTTGTTAAACACCGTGACATCAAGATTGGTTCATCCGAGATGGAAGATCGTCAGGACGAGTCTAACAGAGTTACTAATAGGAACATTTATGATGAGTCTTCTACGGACGATGAAGGCGATATCTTGGGCTTATCTCGACGAGGATGAGAAGAAAGGAATCGTTTTACTTTTAAAACATGTTGCTCAGACCACCAGTGTGTCCTTCATCTTTCTCTTATGGTTGGTTATAGACCTTGGTGTTGTTTTGCTCCTCAGACAAAGAAATAAGACATTCATGTAATGGTTTAGGTAAAAACATAAAAGAGAGAAAAAACTGAGATGGTGGTCTTTTGTGAACAAAACGCATCTTATGTTCTTCATGTCATTTTAAATTTGAAGTTAAACCGAAGTGTTACTAACAGGAACCCCATTTTCACTTGGGATGTGTATGTTGGAGATGGTGACATTTACCATTTTGCAAAGGCAGAAACTCCGCTCAAATATACATGAAGGTCTCACAGTGAGTTACCAACAAAGTTTCTATATAATCCCTGTCATTAGTTTATAAGAACCTAGTTCACTCTAGCCTTTGCCGCATTGTAGCGCCTAAGAAAGGTGCCTTTGGAGAACGTTGACCTTATGGGTGCCTTTGGAGAACGTTGACCCATGTCTATAGATCTCAATGAAGACAGTATAACCTGCTAATTGTTACTTTTAGCGACGACTCGGACTCGGGATCCATGTGTCTTGAGGTTGTAGGGAATTTCGTTGTCCTTAAAGGTGAAGAAACTATAAACACTCTAATTTTTTGGTAGAGTATATGAGAATGGTGGACAATTTGGTCCAGCATCAGTTACTTCCTGGTAGTTTAAATCGTTGAAACAAACGAGAATTACTTTTACAACAGCTCATAAAGATTCCAACATTCTATTTATGCTCTTAATAAGACTCAGTTTTCAACACTCAAGAACATAATGTTCATTTGAAGTTTTTCTTGGTGTTTTTTCAATCATGAGACGATCCAGCAATGCCAAGTTCCAGTAAAACTTGGGTTGGAATTTATGAATTAATGCAAGCGTTCAGAGAAAAAAGATTTAACCTAAAATAAGTCTTTCATTCATGCAAAATGGATCCGAGACGAAAGTGTAATTAAGCATAAGGAGTCTAGAAACCAAACATGATGTCTTTCAAGAACAAATTGCATAAAGCAGATGACAAAACATGGCAAACTCATAACAAATCACTGGTCTCCAGGAAGTGACTTGATGATGTCGGAATCACCTGGATCAACAATGCTGAGGCATGAAACACGGAAGTACTTTCCACAAGCAGTTCCCAGATCGACATTGTTGCCATTGTAGTGATGAACACCAACTTTAGCAAGCATGGCGTAGTACTCAATCTCTGATCTCCTCAACGGAGGGCAGTTGCTAGAGATAAGAATCAACTTACCTAAACACAAACATATCAAAACATACCCTCTTTAACAACTAACCAACAGAGTTCAAAATCTCAACGAAGCCGAAAGGAAGTTTTTTGTTTTACCTTTGGAGCTGCGAAGGGACTTGAGAACGGATTTGTAGCCAAGAGTGTACTTTCCACTCTTCATCACAAGAGCTAATCTGCTGTTGATTCCCTCATGGGACTTCTTCGTCTTCTTCGCCGCTACCATCTTCTCAACGCCGTGAAGTGTCGCTGCTCGCCGGATTTACAGGAAGATAGGCCTTTCAGGGTGAGCGGCGCAAAATGAATATCTTAAATAGAGATACGGTGGAACCCTAAGGGTTTTCTTTTTATTTATTTCCGTCAAGTTACAGGCCCACGGCCCAATAATTCAGGCCTTTAGTGTAATGCTATTACATTTTTGGCGGGAGTTTTTGGGATTTGATGGCCACCAAAAAATGTGCGCAAAATGCAGAAAATCAATATATCGAGAAATCTGAAATTCGAAGGATCAAAAAAACCCTTTCGTCTGAGAAGAGGATCATCGAATCGTTCATGGGTCGATTAGATTTAGCGGCGGCGAAGAGAGCTTATCGGACAGCGACGGAAGTAGGTAACCGGAGCGAAGAGGCGCGATGGGCCAATAACGTCGGCGATATCCTCAAAAACGAAGGAGAGTACGTGGAGGCTCTTAAGTGGTTCCGAATCGATTACGATATCTCCGTCAAGTATCTGCCCGGGAAGGATCTCTTACCTACGTGTCAGTCTCTCGGCGAGATCTATCTCCGTCTCCAGGATTTCGAAGAAGCCTTAATCTATCAGGTACGCCTCTAACTGACTGTCCGAGGAATCTTTGACCGAGTTTGACTTTTCTAACTGACTTAAGGTTTGACCGAGTTTGACTTTTCTAACTGTTTTTTGTTATTGTTGTTGTGGTTGTTGCAGAAGAAGCATTTACAGTTAGCTGAAGAGAACAACGACACCGTGGAGAAGCAACGAGCTTGTACTCAACTAGGCCGTACCTACCATGAGATATTCTTGAAATCCGAGGATGATTGTGACGCAATCCAGAGTGCTAAAAAGTACTTCAAGAAAGCCATGGAGCTTGCGCAGTCTCTCAAGGAGAAACCGCCTCCTGGAGAATCTGGCAGCTTTCTCGAGGAGTATATCAACGCGCATAACAATATAGGTATGCTTGATCTTGATCTTGATAATCCAGACGCTGCTTGTGAGATTCTCAAGAAAGGATTGAAGATCTGCGATGAAGAGGAGGTTAAAGAGTATGACGCTATGCGTACTAGGCTTCATCATAACCTTGGGAATGTTTATCTTGAGCTGAGGAGGTGGAAAGAGGCGAAAGAACATATCAAGATGGATATCAAGATCTGCCATCAGATTAGTCATTGTCAAGGAGAAGCTAAGGGGTATATAAATCTTGCTGAGTTGCATAACAGGACGCAGAACTATGGGGATGCGCTTTTGTGTTATGGTAAGGCTTCTACGCTAGCGAAGTCTATGCAAGACGAGAGTGCGTTGGTTGAACAGATTGATCAGAATATTAAGATAGTTAAGAAAGCAGTTAAAGTCGTGGAGGAAATGAGGGAGGAAGAGCGTAGGCTTAGGAAGTTGTCTGCGGAAATGACTGATGCTAAAGGCACTTCGGAGGAAAGAAAGTCTATGCTCCAAGTACATGCGTGTCTTGAACGTCTTATTGAAAAATCAAGCATGGTTTTTGCATGGGATAAGGTGAGTTTTTTTTTATTTTTTAAACATTTCTTGTTTTCTAATAACAATTAACATCACTCCATACCTTGTCTGTAAGTGTTTGAAATGTTTTCAAAAGTTAATTGTTCATCTTAAGGGGCTTCAGTCATAAAGAAGTGTTCTTAGATCTGTAGATTTCATAGGTCAAGGTACTTAGGAGTTAGGATAAGACAGTTGTGTTGTTTCTTTTGGGACAAATTCGGGTTTTGTTAAATTCTGTCGATGACAATGTCTTTTCAGAGCACCCATTTATTTATTAATAGATAGTTAAGTCTTTTATTTAGCCAAAAGAAAAAAAAAGACGCTGTCTTTTTAGATCAGTCAAAAAAACTATTATCCAAGAATTGCTTGATTTTTCTTCTCC